AGCATACCAAACAAGACTTTTGGAGAGAAAGGCTAGATACGTTGGTGGATCAAATGGCTCAAGCTCAGTACGTCCAGTAGGGTTTCGAGGGATATTGGAGCAATGGCTGCAGAAGATTGGAAAGAAAGAAGCTCTGCTTTCACGGTACACCTTTTCTTTTCTTTCTTTTGATTTATATAGTTGGGTGAGATATGACATCCAGGTTTAGTCTTCACGCCTCAATTTGCAACCAGACTTGGGCACCACCCATTTCCACAATTCGAAACAGCATCCCACCCAGGAAATGGTTAATATAACAGTATAATATAATATAGTACATGTAGTATTTGACCGTCACTTACTCATCAATGTCATGAGCCCTTACAAACCATTCGCACTCCTTCCAACTAGATCACTGTCGTAAACCTGATTAGGCCCCGCCAAAAAGAGACCCAAATTGCTTCTGTTTTCTGTTGTGCCCCCTATGCCTGTTCCTCTGCTGTTTTGAAGGTGATACATTTGTTTTCATAGCTTCTTGAAATGAGACTAATACGAAATAATGCTCCCTAAAACGCATCTAAATGGTAAGTCACTGCGTTCCCCTTCCAACGGTTCACCGTCCTCCCCGTCCCAGCCTCCTTGCATGCCCAGGTAACGTTGCAGCGGTGGGCAGCGATGAGGACAAGGTGCTGCGAAAGATGGTCGCCGGCAAGGCCGGGGATGGATGAAGATTTAAATATAGATGATATGGATAGACAGATGGACGATACATCATTGATCATGATATACCAGCAACTAACAAACAAACTAACTAATGAACGAACCAATTAACAAACTAATTCACTGATTCACTAACTAACACAAACTAACACAAACTAACACTAACTATAACTAACTATAACTAACTATAACTAACTATCACCAACTATAACTAACTATCACTAACTATAACTAACTATAACTAACTAAAACTAACTATAACTAACTATAACTAACTAAAACTAACTATAACTAACTAAAACTAACTTTAACCAACTATAACCAACTAAAACTAACTTTAACTAACTATAACTAACTAAAACTAACTAACTAACTAACTAACTAACCAACTAACTAACAAACTAACTAGCTAACTAACTAACTAACTAACTAGCTAACTATAACTAACTAACTAACTAACTAACTAACAAACTAACAAACTAACAAACAAACTGACTAACTGACTAACTAACTAACTAAAACTAACAAACAAACAAACAAACAAACAAACAAACTAACTAACTAACCCTACTATACCTACTATACCTAACTATACCTACCTATACCTAACTATACCTAACTATACCTAACTATACCTAACTATACCTAACTATACCTAACTACACCTAACTATACCTAACTAAGTAACTAACGAACTAACTAACTAATTAACTAACTAACTAACTAACTTTAACTAACTTTAACTAACTAACTAACTAACTCTAACTAACTGTGACTAACTCTAGCTAACGATAACTAACTATAACTAACAAACTAACCAAGTAACTAACTAACTAACCAAGTAACTAACCAAGTAACTAACTAAGTAAGTAACTAAGTAACTAAGTAACTAAGTAACGAAGTAACTAAGTAACTAAGTAAGTATCTAAGCAACTAAATAACTAACAAACTAACAAACTAACAAGCTAACAAACTAACAAGCTAACAAACTAGCAAACTAACAACTATATATATATATGTATACATGTACATGTACATGTACATGTATATGTATATGTATATGTATATGTATATGTATATGTATATGCATACACACACGCACACCCACACACACATGTACACACTTGGCCAAACCTCGGGCAGCAATCGCCAGCAGATTTCAAGGGCTTCACTGTACCAGCGATTTATTTGGCAAACTTTAGCACATTTCAGGGGAGAACGACTCCACCGCAACACCATGGGAACTTGATTTCAAGAAGATGTGTTTTCACCTGCGATGCGGGTTTTTCCCAAGCCTGTGATCCCATCTGTGCCAAAACGCACAGGAACCTGCATGGTCCGGTGCCGGGGCCCAAGCGGGCGTATTGGTGTGGCGAATAGAGCACTTCCACGTGGTGCCTGTGGAAGCTTGGCTCCCCTCCCATGACCCCCCCAAAGTGGATGAGGTTCGTTGGGTCTTTCCGGGGAGTCAGTGCTGGTAAAGTATGAAATAAGGTGAAGTGGCAGCTACTTCTAGTCTGCGTTGTTTTGGTAGCTGTTACTGCTTGGCTTTGAAAGATGACAAGCTTTCGATGTCCTTTGAGGATCTTGCGAACTATGGAAAATTCCACAAGGGCGACTCCTACATAGTGCTGAAGACAGTAGAGAGTGACAGCGGTCCCTTGGCTGCAGGGGTTCTGAGTCAGCTGGCCACCTCCATTTTTGCAAAATCTTTGGCTACCATCGATTTTTTTTGCTGGTTGCTTCTATTGTTGTGATTCACACAGGCAAGTTGCTACACACCATTCACTTCTACATCGGCAAAGAGAGCTCTATAGATGAGAAGGGCACTGCAGCCTACAAAACTGTGGAGCTTGATGACCTTCTCGAATCCAAGCTGAACATGCAAGAGCTCTGCGTGAAACAAAAAAGGAGATGGAACATGCCCCTCGGGAGGATCACTTCTCATTTCCAAATAGAACATGTCGCATTTCATACATTTTGTGCATTTTCATACATTTTCATACACGATTCTACCTCCATGCATGTTCCAACTTTGGTCAACTGTAGCCACAGCATCTTCGAGACCGTGTCCCAACATCCTGAGGACGGCGAGCCGAAACAAGTGCGGGAGGAGATGGGCAGCTTGTCCAGGTGCTAGGTCTGGTAGGTGGGGACGGAGGGGCTGGTTGCAGTCAGTAGGAAGTCCTCAATCTGTGATTGCCCCTGATACTGTGAGCTCATCACATGCTGTACCAGCTTTTTGCCCTTTTGACCAGCTGAATGACATATAGAAACATCGAGATCCAGACTTTGGCTCTCTTCCAGAGCCGGCCCTTTGTACCCACCATGACCTCACCACAGCGAGGTCAAGAGTCCCCAGAGTTTGCAGAGCTGTTCCCTGGATTGGAGTACCTGGATGGAGGCAGGTTGGAGCAAAACCTAACCGTCCTAACCTTGGCAGCCGTTGTTACGATTGATCACAGCTCAGACCCGGTGACCCGTGACATGCCAGGTGTGGACAGCGGCTTCAAACACGTGGTGCCCGAAGGGCATGACACCAAGCTCTACCAGGTGAGGCGTGTGCATGGCAAGACCACGGTGTTGCAGGTGCCAGCGATGAAGGAAACTCGGCTGATCTGGACCTGGGGATGTGACAAACAAGAAATTGGGATTCAACCAACAGAAGTGGTAGAACAGGGATATACTGGGGATATAACATGATATAATGGGATATCATGGGAAAACCTTGTTTAGTCATGTTTGGTCATGTATGAATATAATCCACCCAAATGAAACCCCGGTTTCATATTGGATATATTCATTTTGGGGGCCATTTTGGGGAGTACAGTATTTCATACTAGGTTGGACAGGACTGGGCCTCCAGGAACTCATCAATGACGGAGACAGCTTCGTGTTGGACGCCCCGGAGAAGGTCTACGTTTTGGATGGGCCCAAGGCATCGCCCTTTGAAAAGCGTCAAGCCAATGAGACGGCTGAGAACATTGAGAGAGCGAGGCCCAGCTTTGGGATGTAGTGACTGTAGTGGTTCTTTTCAGTTCTTGTCTGGAGTGGGACATGTATGGGACATGTATGGGACATGTATAACATATTATTGTGAAATATTATACGCAAAAAAAACATCAAACAGCGATGTGGAAGTCTTCACTAAGCGGATGATGTCTTCTTGGACCTAGGGGGAGACGAGAGCAAGACTGATTGCTGCAGGAATGGCAAAGCGCAAGCCACCCACGACATTGATGATGGCTTTTGGGCCTTGCTTGGATGAGTTGCGTCTGGCCGACCTGGCCTCGATCGATTCCGTTGAAAAGACTTGAGATCTGCGGCAGGGTCGGATTAGCCATAACGAGCTTAGCCCTTTATCCAGTAACTTAGTAGTGTCCAAAATGAGACGTTTTTGAGGAAAAGCATGGACATATTTAGTTGTCTTTCTGCATCTCTCTTTCTCTCTGTTTGATTCTGTTTCCACCTTTTCTATGTATCTATGTCTATATCATCTATATCTATTTCTATGTGATCTATATCTACGCGGTCTATATCTATGTGATCTATCTATCTATCTGTCTGTCTGTCTATCTATCAATCTATCAACCTATCAATCTATCAATCTATCAATCTATCAATCTATCTATCTGATATGTATCTATCTAAATCTACATATATATATATAAATTTATAAATGTATTATGCATACACTTGTATGTATACTCCTTCATGAAGCAGATTTGTACGACCAATTTCTTGTGCAGGCCAGATCGCGATCGCCGCGATCAAGGCGATCGGGGCCGGGGCGACCACGGCGACCGCGGCGACCGCGGCGACCGCGGCGACCGCGGCGACCGCGGCGACCGCGGGCGTGGTGGCGATCGCGGTGACCGAGGTCGGGGTCAAATATCAACAATGCTATGGAACACATCCGGATACCACCTTCTGGCATGTTTATCACTTGCATGAATCGAACCTACAGTATCATGGATACAGAAGATGGATCGGATTTCCGAACTATCTTTAAATTTGAACTAGTTTGGTGCAGCTTCTTGAGGGATGTGTTTGGAGCTCAGCAGTGAATGGTGCACTCTTTAGCACTTGGAAGGAGATCGACAGGATCGACAGGACAGGCCCATGTGTGATCGTAGAGATTCACCCGTAGCTTTCCTGCAACATTTGCAAGGCAAGTCAAGAGTTCGTATGTGAGAAACATCTACTTTTTCAACTTTGAAACCTTTTACATCGTGGAAGTGAGACACAAGGATATGTAGATATACACCACACATACACATATATTATATTTATATTTTTTTTTTCAAAAATATAAATTATTATTATTATTATTCCTATTCTTCTTCGTCTTATTATATATATATATTATATTATTATTATTATTTATTATTTATTGTTTATTGTTTATTATTATTTATTATTATTTATTATTATTTATCATTATTTATTTATTATTATTATTTATTATTATTTATTGTTATTATTATTTACTATTATTATGTATCTTATTGCATTTATTACTATATTTATTATTATTATTATTACTATTATTATTATATATTATTATATATATTATTATTATTCTTATTATTATTACTATTATTATTTTTTTTAATCATTATTATTATAGTTATATACATTATTATTACTATTGATATTATAACATACATTATTATTATTATTATTTTCTTATTATGTATTATATATTTTTATTTTTGCGATGATGATGATGATGATGATGATGGTGAAGATGATGGTGATGGTGATGGTGATGGTGGTGGTGATGGTGATGGTGATGATGATGATGATGATGATAATGATGATGATGATGATGATGACGATGATGATGATGATGATGATGATGATGATGATAATGATCATCATCATTATCATTATGATTTATAGTTATATTATAGATATGATTATGTACATATGTGTGCCACATGTGGGCACCCGTGCACCTTTCCGAGCCTTCTCAGGACCGGCGGAGGAGTCGGAGTCGACGAAGGAGAAGTCGCAGCCGCGGGGTGCTGTGCTCAGTTCATGTCAAGACGCGGTTGATTATAGCAACCCGTAGTAACCCATACTAACCCATAGCAACCTATCATTCTGAGAGAAATTACTTCAAATTTGAATGAATTGGCCTGAGGATTGAGACGAATCCCAGTCAAGTTTATTGGCTCTATCTCCAAATCAATTTCTGGACACTTTGGGTGAAGGAAGATGATTAAGACAGACGCATGAAGCAGAAGTTTCCGCAATGGGTAAGGCTCAGAAAGCGCCAGCCTGATGGCTGCCATGGGCCATGAGATCCGGGTAGAGACTTCATGGTGCAGGTTTTTGTTGGATCATTTGCATGTAACGACATCGTTTTGTGGACATGTCATGAAATCTCCAAGTTGTGTCTTCCCGGAACTTTGGTCCAGCTGTTGAAACTCGCAGTTTGGTCTCACCCCTTCCGATTATTTTTAGGTGAGGCTTTGCCCAAAAAGCAAAGCATGGGGTTGTGACAGTGGGGGGCTCATGAAGGCCTCAATCCCTCATGGCTTCTCCTCTGGACCCCCTCTGGTAATTCAACATAGCTATAGAAAACTATCAGTTTTAATAGGTAAACCATGGTAATCCATAAATGGGTCATCTATACCACAGCAAACTTTGAATGACCAGAAATTTGATTCAATTCAAAGAGAGCCGAACAACCACGAACGGAGTAAAGTCTTGGGACCATGTGAATCCCGATGGGCCGTTTCAGCTGTGGTTTTTTCCAGGGCGCCGCGGGGTTTCTTTACCCCAACAGGGGGTAAAACTTGTTGCACCAGGGATGCAGGCTCTGGTGAGGGTGGGAGAAATGCAGAGACGTCGCTAGCTACTGTATGGATTCATCATGCATCAACAAACATCCCAAATAGAGGCATCGAAGATCATCGAAGTGGGGATGGTTCATGAGGCTTACCTCACTCTGCAAGAGGTGGATGGCGCTGAGGATCCAGTGGCCGGACGGTTGCGAAAGGCTTGGGCTTTTGTTTCTGCCACAACCTGGGCTTGGAAGCGGATTTTTCGACGGGGAATTGACATGGCAATTTCTGGCGTTCGGTGCTGAACCAAAACCATTGGCGCATTCTTATCGTATGATTGTGCTTGGCACAGGCTCAGTTTCCTTTCATCTTCTGTCAAAATGGGGTGGGAACTGCAGACAATCCGTGGTCTCATGTGGTCTCACGCAGCATCATCGAGACACAACGGTAGAGATCAAATTTGAGACTTCTGCTTCATTTCAGCTTGACTCCATTATAATCCATCCATTTTCTGCTCAATTTCGACCTTACCATTCCCAATTTCATGGATCTTAAGTAGCATAAGCGATGGTTGCATTTCGAGGAGCACCGAAAGCTAGCAGACTTGCTGTCCACCCGTGAGGGCCAGGCGCGCAAACCCATCAGATTCGGGGCAAGTGATTTCATGTGATTTCTATTTTAAATTCTAGGGATGGCTGAGGTTTCTCCATGTTTCTCTCCTCCCCAGGGGTTCAAGAGAAGCGGCTCGTTTTTGTATGTTTTCTGTCTGCCAGGTCTATTTTCTGGTGAAGTTCCTTGTGCAAAGGGGAAGCGAGGTGGCTGAGGAGTTCAGACATCGACTGAAGAAAGGTCAGCCGATCCACGCGCGTGGCTACAACTTCTCGGAGGAGGCGTGTAACAGTAACATCGTGTCACCTGTATCTGTCAGTGGGCGCACGCGGTTGACAGCTGCCAAACTCCCATGCTCAAAGAGACACCAAAGATGGAATTCCTGGGGGGAGGTTTTCACTGGCAATTGCTGGGACGCAGCTTGAGGTCATCACTGAAGCTTTGCAGCAATGGGAAGGGAAGGGCACTTCCACTGCGAGGCGCGGGATTCCTCGATCTGCAGTGGAATCCGGACTTCCGTAGATGTCATCCAGTCACGAGGATCCTTCTTAACGGGAGCGACGATCTCCATGGCCAGGAGTCCGGTGCCAGAAAGCTCGGCGACAGAACACAACGAGGGCAAGGCAACAGGCCAAGCAACAGGCCAGGCAAGCGGCTTCTCCGAACTCCTCGGTGAACTCTCGCACAACCTGATGTTCCAGTGTTCCAGGGTCAAATACCACTTCTGCATCATTTCCAAATGCTTAGATGTACAGCACGTTGCTGCGCTGCTCTCTGCTTTCATGAGGCATCGCTGCCACCAAATCCAGGGAGAAACCCGAGGTGCCAAGGTGCGCTCTGGAGCTGTGCATGTTGCTGCGCTATGCGGTTGTGAACACAGCGGATTTTCTGAGTCAGCTGGGAAACCACTTTCCAACGCTGGGGCACTTGCCAAACTGAACATGTTTGAACATGTTTAGGTTTAGGTGTGAATCTCGACTCCGGCCCCTGACCTGGACCAGGCCAACGCAAGCCGAGCCCGCCCCGCAGGTTGCGCAGGTTGCCGCCTCAGACCTGAGACCTTCTACTGCGGTTTCCCCTGAGTTCTGGCACCAAGGATGGCGTGAAGCCAGGCTTGCAAAGCTTCATGAACGCCAGCCGGAGAAGGTGCTGTGGCACTCAAACCGGCTGGAAGATCCCAAAAAAATCATAAAACATCTCCATCCATCATTCATGTTGTTGGATAGTTTTTGAAGACTTAATTATCTCACTTCCCAGAAATGAGGTTCCAAACCCCAACCAATGTGAAAATCAAGGCCTTGATTATTGTAATTGCGGCTTCTGAACAGGAGCATAAGTGGAAACCTTTTCCAGCCAAGCCGTGATGGTTTCCTCACGAGGACCTTGCAGCGTTTCGCAAAGTTTCTTGATTTTTCTGCGTGATTCTGATTGATCATCACCGTCACAATACAACTTCCCAACCATGTACTTTCTAGTAGTCCAACCTACGGAGAGGTCCCCAAATTCCCCAAGTTTGTAGGCGACCTTCCTCCAAGAACCTGAGAAATTTCTACAGGACCTGGATGGAGATGGCCGAAGCCAATCGACGGTGTGGGGTGCCTGAGCCTGCTGAAGGTCAGTGTGGGGTGCCAAGAAGACTCAAGGTGTTCCTACATGTTCCTACTAGACTAACAAGATTGCAAGAGAGTTTTGCTGGAATTTTCGGTTCCCAATACCCACAGAACATATCCCACTGCCAGATGTTGGAGGCAGGAAACTTGAGATGATTACAACTTGAAGCTCAAAATCCAACTGTTCTGCAACTATCGGCTCTCAGTGACGAACATAAGCAAAATCCCTGAATCGCAAATGATGCGATTCGACCAAGCACGAATCTAGAAGCTTTGCCATGTCTTTTAGCAAGGGCCCAGTGGGAAGAGGACACCGCTCTGTGAGCTTTGGCTCATAGCACTTGGAGTTTGCATTGGCCTCATTGATCTCTCGCGACTCTAGTTGGCATTTGTTTTGTCTCAGCTGAACCACAGATCTCACATAAAGTTGGCAGCTAAAGTGTTGAACATGATTTGACCTGATGTCCCTCGCGATTCCATGTTTTGCCATCATTTAATTTGCAATCCATTTTCATAGGGTTGCTGCCTGCTTTTTCATGTTCTCTTCTCGTCCCAGCCACATGGTTTTCCACGGTCGCAGGATACAACTCCTTCAGTGCCGGCTCTGGGGAACGCAAGGTGGGCAGATTGGGGCTCCACCGCGAGGAAGACCTGGACCTGGACTTCTCCTCCGCGCTAGAGGCCTGAGGTGAAACGGTTTTCCAACCGGAGAGGTCCTCCAAGAGGCTTTTTTCGTGTTGAATGCTCAGAATGCTCAATGTCTTTCAGGTGGACCTAGGCCGTGGCCTTGGGACTTCGGTCACGCGCGACTCCTTTGGCTTCTCCTCTCACCACTCTGTGGGCGTGCGACGGGCTCCAGGACGGGCCGTTGGAGCTTCAATTTGGAACAGTTGGGCAATCCTGAGAAAACGTCTTCAGGAATCAGCACCCATTAGATTGCCTTAGATCCCTTAGGTTGCCTTGACTTTGGGTGAGAATGTAAGATAATGTAAGGGTGGTGCATTGATTTGGGACCACACGAGGCGGAGTGGACAGAGCAACGAGCTTTCAAGCTGCGTCCAATCGGCCCAACCAAGGCAGGGGATGTCGGAATCTAAAGATCGTTGGTTTGGCATGGCTGAACTCCAGAAAAGATCCCAATCGGATAGTTGATGATAGTTGGATTGTGAACATCAAATAAACATATATTTATATATATAATATATATTTATCATATATTTATATAAATCAACATTGCTGATAGCGGGTGCTCAGCAGCTCAGCGAAGGCTTGGAGCAGATGCCTTTCGACCATCAAATCCGTGGAATGCGCTGGAAGGATCGCCAGGGATCACTGGGACATTGTCAAATTCTGCGGCCAAATTCAGAGGTTTCCCATTTAAATCTTAGGGACTTATATAACTTAATATCACTTAATATAACTGTATAACTTATATAATCCCATTCAGATAGGCAAAAAATATATCTTTATGTAACTCATATTACTGAGTTATATAACTGTACCCTATAATGTTCTTCTCGAAAACTGAGCCATGGCAGTTGGGAAACCCGAAGCCCATTTTCAAGTTGCTGAGGGCGAGGGCGTTTGCTGCTTCATCTTGGCCGGCTCGGGGGGAATCGATGCGTTCCGAGCTTCCAGGGTCCTACCGCACTTGTTACATTTGAGCCTTGGACCAGAATGGATGGTGGTTATTGCTGATGACTGTTGATGTTGGGTGGATTAGGAACCAGGAGCCCCCAATTTAGTGGCAGGTTTTTACGGTGATTTTGGAAGATTGAAAGCTGCGGTACCTACTATGGCAGCTATATACATCCCATCTGTCTTCGACTCTCCAACCTGGCTGCCCAGGAGTACCTTGAGCAGTGGACACTTGGGGCAGGCAGACTTGAGTGGATTCCGAGCCTGCGTGCTACTCTGCAGCCTGGCTCAGCTCACTGCGCCTGTTGTAACACACGATCCGATTTCAAGGGTATGTTGAAACTTATGGTAGCCATGGAGCTGCAAAAAAAGACATGGTTGAACTTGTGCTACGATAAATCATCATGGATCTCACCTGACCTGATCACTGCCCGTTATTGATGTGCAGTACCATGCCCCAGGTGACTTGATGGAGTGGCCTGCCTCCCAAGACGACGCAAAAGATCTCTTTTCTGCCTGTAAGGAGCTGGCCTCCAACGGCTCAGCCGTGGCCGTCATCGCAGTTTTCTTGGCACCCATCCCGGGAGGTCCGGATCGGGATGCGGCGTCGACCCAAGCACTTCATAGCGCCGTGTTGGCCGCTGGGGCCGACTGTGTGCTCTTTTCCTGTCCAACGCATCCGGTGACTTTCAGGCACCTCCAAGCTGCCATTCAAGGTACCGAAGCTTGGCATGAAAGAATCGCTGAGGCCATTGAAAGTGCTCAGGCAAAACTCGCCCGGGCGCAGGAACAGCGATGGCAGAGACATTATCAGATTGCCCTGCGAAAGATCGTGTGGAAAGCACCGCAGACCGTTTTCCCCCACATCCCGCAGGAGGACGCCGACTTGGCAGAGAGGGATGATGGAGTCGGTGACTACAGCTTTGTGAGGGTCATTGGGTCCGGCGCCTTTGGCAGTGTTTTCCTCGGCCGACATCCCAGATTTGGGGATGTGGCTATCAAAGCCATCAAGAAGGCATCCATCAAGAACGTTTTTGATTTGGCAAAGGTGGAGCGAGAACTTAGTATTTTGATGGGTGTCTTGGACCACCCCAATGTCCTGGAGATTCTGTCCTGCCTTCATGGAGCGAAGCTCGGCATGCCATTCTCGGCGTGTCACCATGTTCTTGCTATTTTCTGTTGTTGAAGGTGGTTTCCATGCAGTGCAGGGCCCTATGGCTGCTAATGGCCATTGCTAAGGAACAACCTCTACATTGTCATGCAGTTCCTCGGGGAGTACACCTTGCACACGTACCTGCAATTGCGGCAGACGGGGTCCGCACGCAACGTGTTGATGCTTCCCTTCCAGGAGGTGCCAACTTCAGTGCAAAAGGTTGGAGGGGAGGCCTCATGTGAACTGATGTGACTAATTGCTAGTCCCAGGTTGGAGGTTTGAAAAGACAGTAGGACTGGATTCACGGGAAAATGGAAAATGGATGAAACTGATTGAAACTGGATGAACATGGTCCGGCTCCAGCTGAAAGTTGCCAGGTGCAGGGTATCTTCGGAGATATCTTGAAGGCCATTGCCCACTGCCATGCAGCTCATGTCTGCCACCGAGATTTGAAGCGGCTTGGCTGAGAGAAGGCTAGCAACGGCTTGGTGTAACACCACCAGCTGATCTTGTCCTGCAAATTACTTCTGCACCGGTACTTTTCCCCTTTCTCATGCTGGTTTAGATTCTCAGCTTTACCAGCATCATGCAGCAGTCCGATGTGTCATCACAATTCATCACAATGATCTAGCACTTTTCAATTCCTTCTCTCCAGGATGTCCATTCATTTTGTGGGTATCCAACATCCCGCTTCCATATTATCATTTGGTAAGCCCAATTTTTACACTTCAGGTATAGTAAATGGCATACACAGAGCCATCCCACTTGGGAGGTTGAGGGGTTTACCATGGTTTACCACGTTCTTGATGTTTTTTTAGCAGATATTCAGATCCCACTGGTCATGGTTCAATCCCCATGATCCCACCCACCAAGTTAGTTAAGGTATCAAAGGAAGTTTGAAGGTCTAACTTCCGTGTAACGGATTTTTACAAGTCACAACTACCACTATCACAATATCACCACTATCACCACTGTCTCAATACACCACTGTCACAACATCACCACTATCACAATATCACCACTAGCACCACTGTCTCAATACACCACTATCACAATATCACCACTATCACAATATCACCACTATCACAATATCACCACTATCACAATACCACCACTATCACAATATCACCACTAGCACCACTGTCTCAATACACCACTGTCACAACATCACCACTATCACAATATCACCACTATCACAATATCACCACTATCACAATACCACCACTATCACAATATCACCACTATCACAATATCACCACTATCACAATACCACCACTATCACAATATCACCACTAGCACCACTGTCTCAATACACCACTGTCACAACATCACCACTATCACAATATCACCACTAGCACCACTGTCTCAATACACCATTATCACAATATCACCACTATCACAATATCACCACTATCACAATACCACCACTATCACAATATCACCACTATCACAATATCACCACTATCACAATACCACCACTATCACTATCACCACTAGCACCACTGTCTCAATACACCACTGTCACAACATCACCACTATCACAATATCACCACTAGCACCACTGTCTCAATACACCACTATCACAATATCACCACTATCACAATATCACCACTATCACAATACCACCACTATCACAATATCACCATTATCACAACATAACCACTATCACCACTGTCTCAATACACCACTATCACAACATCACCACTATCACAATATCACCACTAGCACCACTGTCTCAATACACCACTATCACAATATCACCACTATCACAATATCACCACTATCACAATATCACAAATATCACAATATCACCATTATCACAACATCACCACTATCACAATATCACCACTATCACAATATCACCATTATCACAACATAACCACTATCACCACTGTCTCAATACACCACTATCACAACATCACCACTATCACAATATCACCACTAGCACCACTGTCTCAATACACCACTATCACAATATCACCACTATCACAATATCACCACTATCACCACTGTCTCAATACACCACTGTCACAACATCACCACTATCACAATACCACCACTATCACAATATCACAAATATCACAATATCACCACTATCACAACATCACCACTATCACAATATCACCACTAGCACCACTGTCTCAATACACCACTGTCACAACATCACCACTATCACAATATTATCACTATCACAATATCACAAATATCACAATATCACCATTATCACAACATCACCACTATCACAATATCACCACTATCACAATATCACCATTATCACAACATAACCACTATCACCACTGTCTCAATACACCACTATCACAATATCACAAATATCACCATATCACCATTATCACAACATCACCACTGTCACAATATCACCACTATCACAATATCACAACTATCACAATATCACCACTGTCTCAATACACCACTGTCACAATATCACCACTATCACAATATCACCATTATCACAACACAACCACTATCACCACTGTCTCAATACACCACTATCACAACATCACCACTATCACAATATCACCACTAGCACCACTGTCTCAATACACCACTATCACAATATCACCACTATCACAATATCAACACTATCACCACTGTCTCAATACACCACTGTCACAACATCACCACTATCACAATACCACCACTATCACAATATCACAACTATCACAATATCACCATTATCACAACATCACCACTATCACAATATCACCACTATCACAATATCACCATTATCACAACACAACCACTATCACCACTGTCTCAATACACCACTATCACAACATCACCACTATCACAATATTACCACTATCACCACTGTCTCAATACACCGCTATCACAATATCACCACTATCACAATATCACCACTATCACCACTGTCTCAATACACCACTGTCACAACATCACCACTATCACAATACCACCACTATCACAATATCACAAATATCACAATATCACCATTATCACAACATCACCACTATCACAATATCACCACTATCACAATATCACCATTATCACAACATAACCACTACCACCACTGTCTCAATACACCACTATCACAACATCACCACTATCACAATATCACAACTATCACAACATCACCACTATCACAATATCACCACTATCACCACTGTCTCAATACACCACTGTCACACATCACCATCACTATTAATATCACAATATCACCATTATCACAACATATCACCACTATCACCTCAATACACCACTATCACAACCATCACCACTATCACTATCACAATATCACCATCTATCACACACATCACCACTATCACAATACCACCACTATCACAATATCACACATATCACAATATCACCATTATCACAACATCACCACTATCACAATATCACCACTATCACAATATCACCATTACCAGTAGTACCGCACAAGGCGGTGGCGGAAGTTTCAAAAATAGGAAACCTATAGGAGAGGTTGGTTGTGAATCAGGGATGGCAGAGCGAATCCACTGATTGACCGAAAGGTGGTTGGAGTTGTGTTTGCTGGAATGGTTGCAATGGTTGCAGTGGTCACCTCACCCACAACTGCTGGATGCAGTGTGATGTACTGCAACTGTAGTTGTAGTTGTAGCGTAGTGGAGTTGTAGTTGTGGTGTAATGTAATTAGTGTAGTGTAGTTGCAGTCATATAGTTGTAGCTGTAGTTGTTTTGTAGTTGTAGTTGTAGTTGTTGTAGTTGTAGTTGTTGTGTGGTTGTAGTTGTTGTGTACTGTAGTGTAGTAGTAGTAGTAGTAGTCGTAGTAGTAGTAGTTGTTGTTGTAGTAGTTGTAGTAGTTGTAGTTGTTGTTGTTGCTGTAGTAGTAGTAGTAGTAGTTGTTGTTGTTGTTGTTTGTTGTTGTTTGTTGCTGTTGTTGTTGTTGTTGTAGCTGTAGTTGTTGTAGTTGTAGTTCTAGTTGTAGTTGTTGTGTAGTTGTAGTAGTAGTAGTAGTAGTTGTTGTTGTTGTTGCTGTTGCTGTTGTCGTCGAAGTTAGGGTAGTTAAGTTAGTGAAGTTAGTTAAGTTAGTCAAGTTAGTTAAGTTAATCAGTGTCTACTTTTTCGACATCTTCACGTCAAAAAAGGCTCAAAACCATCAGTTTTTTACACTTTTGACTTCGAAATGTGCTTCGCGCCACAACGGCGTGCACTTTTTCGACACTTTTTCGACATCCGAACCTCCAAAAGTGGTCCGAGACCGTCAGTTTTTAACACTTTTGACTTCAAAATGTGCTTCGCGCCACAACGGCGTGCACTTTTTCGACATCGCAACTTCAAAAAGTGGTCCGAACGTGGTGTGTTTTGTACATTTTGACTTGGAAATGTGCTTCGCGCCACAACGGCGTGCACTTTTTCGACATCGCAACTTCCAAAAGTGGTCCGGAGCTGAAGTGTTTTGTACATTTTGACTTGGAAATGTGCTTCGCGCCACAACGGCGTGCACTCTCGCGACATCTCAACTTCCAAAAGTGGTCCGAACCCCTGGTGTTTTGTACATTTTGACTTGGAAATGTGCTTCGCGCCACAACGGCGTGCAATTTTGCATCGCTCCTGTGGCCAGCTGGCTCCGCACCCGCCGCTTTAGCGAGCCTACTTTTCGACCCTCCGGCGCCACAAATCATTGGAAAAACATAGTGTTTTGCGACTTTCCTACCTTTTCGCGCATCTGCAGCGTCTGTCCTCTTACTCTTTCTCTTCTGATCTTCTCTCTTCTAATCTTCCTCTTCTCTGTGCCTCTGCCCTGCTCTGCTTTTCATCTCTCCATATTGTCGGAAGTTTGACTTCTAAACTTCCTTCGATCACAACATAACCACTATCACCACTGTCTCAATACACCACTATCACAACATCACCACTATCACAATATCACCACTATCACAATATCACCACTATCACCACTGTCTCAATACACCACTGTCACAACATCACCACTATCACAATACCGACACTATCACAATATCACAAATATCACAATATCACCATTATCACAACATCACCACTATCACAATATCACCACTATCACAATATCATCATTATCACAACATAACCACTATCACAACATAACCACTATCACCACTGTCTCAATACACCACTGTCACAATATCACCACTATCACAATATCACCACTATCACAATATCACCATTATCACAACATAACCACTATCACCACTGTCTCAATACACCACTGTCACAATATCACCACTATCACAATATCACCACTATCACAATATCACAACTATCACAACATCACCATTATCACAATATCACCAGTATCACCATATCGCCGCTATCACAACATCACCACTATCACAATATCACAAATATCACCATATCACCATTATCACAACATCACCACTATCACAATATCACCACTATCACAATATCACCATTATCACAACATAACCACTATCACCACTGTCTCAATACACCACTGTCACAACATCACCACTATCACAAAATCACCATTATCACAGCATCACCACTATCACAACATCACCACTATCACAACATCACCATTATCACAATATCACCACTATCACAACATCACCACTATCACAATATCACCACTGTCTCAATACACCACTGTCACAACATCACCACTATCACAATACCGACACTATCACAATATCACAAATATCACAATATCACCATTATCACAACATCACCACTATCACAATATCACCACTATCACAATATCACCACTATCACAACATAACCACTATCACAATATCACCACTATCACAATATCACCACTATCACCACTGTCACAATATCACCACTATCACAATATCAGCATTATCACCATATCACTACTATCAAAATATCACTACTATCACAGTATCGAAGCTATCACAACATCACCAACATCACAATATCACCACTATCACAATATCACCACTATCACCATATCACCATAATCACCATATCACCACTATCACCATATAACCGTTATCACAACATAACCACTATCACAGCATCACCATTATCACCATATCACCACTATCACAGCATCACCACTATCACCATATCACCACTATCACAATATCACCATTATCACAGCATCACCGCTATCACAATATCACCACCATCACAATATCACCACTATCACAATATCACCACTATCACAGCATCACGACTATCAAAACATAACCACTATCACAACATCACCACTGTCACAGTATCACCACTATCACAACATCACCAATATCACAATATCACCACTATCACAATATCACCATTACCACCATATCACCACTATCACCATACCAACAGTATCACAACATAACCACTATCAGCACTGTCTCAATACACCACTGTCACATTATCACCACTATCACAATATCACCATTATCACAATATCACCATTATCACCATTATCACAACATCACCACTATCACAACATCACCAGTATCACCATATCGCCACTATCACAGCATCACCACTATCACAATATCACAATATCACCACTATCACAGCATAACCACCATCACAACATAACCACTATCACAACATCTCCACTATCACAATATCACCTCTATCACAATATCACCATTATCGCCATATCAGCACTATCACAATACCACCACTATCACAACATGATCACTATCACAATATCACCACTATCACAATATCAACATTATCGCAACATAGCCACTATCACAATATCACCATTAACATGCAATCACCACTATCACAATATCACCGCTATCACAATATCACCACTATCACAATATCACCACTATCATACTATCACAACTATCACACTATCACCACTGTCTCAACATCAAAAGCTTTGTTTTCACATCTTGAGTTCTGAGATTTTGTGGGATGTCTCGCAGGAAATCTTCGTTTTCACATCTTCCACTTTCGCTTTTGGAGGGATGTCTCGCACGAAAGCTTCGTTTTCACATCTTCCACTTTCGCTTTCGGAGGGATGTCTCGCACGAAAGCTTCGTTTTCACATCTTCCACTTTCGCTTTTGGAGGGATGTCTCGCACAAAAGCTTCGTTTTCACATCTTCCACTTTCACTTTTTGAGGGAAGTCTCGCACGAAATGCGTTTTGAGAGTTAGCAGATGCACGAAAAGCCGTGTTTTGCAGAACAAAACGTGTCTCGGAAGATGGATGGGAAGCGTGTCCGGCGGGCGGGCCCCGGACGGTGTCGGCTGTGCTGGGATCATTCTTGGATCGGCGCTGCAGTATTATTTTTTGTGTTTTGCAACTCAGTCTGACTCAGTCTTTGCAGATCTGATTGTATTGTAATGGCTGCGTCAAGGTTGCTTGGCGCCGCGGCTGCGTGCGTAAATGCTACAGCTGGACATTGTAAATCGTATTGGGGTGGCTGCATGAAGGCAGCCATAGTGATTTGTCAGCAAATTTTCCCAATTTGGGCGCTGGTGATTTTCCTTTTAACATTTCTTTAAAAAGTGCTTCAAAATTGTGTTTTTTTTTTGGGCTTTGGTGCCGAGATCCGGTTTTGGAGCTGCACTTTTTCACGCCGTTGCGCGTAGTTCTGTTGTGTTTTGCAAGTCAGTATCTGGCGATCGCATTGCAATGGCTGCACCAAGGCTGCGATAATACTTTGTCAGCAGATTTTCTCAGCTGTGGCGCTGGTGATTTTCCTTTTAAAATTCATTTTAAAAAGTGCTTCAAAAATCGTCTTTTTTTTGCTTTGGCGCCGAGATCCGGTTTGGGAGCTGCAATTTCTGGCGCCATTGTGCGAAAATGCTTGTGTATGTAAAAGCTTCTCTGTGTAAAAGCTTCTGTGTGTAAAGGCTTCTGTGTAAATGCTTCTCTGCGTGAAAGCTTGCTGTGTGTAAAAACTTCTGTGTGTAATTCTGTGTAAAAGCTTCTCTGTGCAAAAGCTGGCTGTGTGTAAATGATTCTGTGTGTAGAAGCTCGCTGTGTGTAAAAGCTTTTCTGTGTAAAAGCTTCTGTGTGTCTAAAAGCTTCTCTCTGTAAAGGCTTCTCCGTGTAAAAGCCTCTGTGTGTAAAAGCTTATCTCTGTAAAAACTTGCTGTGTGTAAAATCTTCTGTGTAAGAGCTTGCTGTGTGTAAAGGCTCTCTGTGTGTAAAATTTTGCAGTGTGTAAAAGCTTCTCTGCGTCAAATCTTTTCTGTGGAAAGCGTTGAGGTTGCTTGCTTTGGCGCCAAGGTCCGTTTTCGGAGCAGGTTTTGGGCCAGAGAAAGGTGAGATGATTTGAGAGTGCGCTGACAAGAGCTGAGATAAGGTGAGACGAGCTGACAAGAGCTGAGATCAGCTGAGTAGATGCGAGAAGAGCTCAGAAGATGTGAGAAGAGGAGAGAAGAGATGAGAACACAAAAGGTGAGCTTACATGAGCTGCGGAGAGCTGAGAAGAGTTGAGAAGAGTTGAGAAGAGTTGTGAAGAGTTGTGAAAATCTGAAAACCCTGAGATAAGCTGAGATGACATGAGAAGAGATGAGAAAAGCTCAAATGACATGAGAAGAGAAGCGAACAGTCGTGATCAGCTGAGAAGAGCTGAGGATGGGAGAGAAGACATCAGATGGGATGAGGTGAGATGCGGTGAAAAAAAACTGAGCAGACATGAGATGAGTTGAGATGAGATGGGATGTCACAGACTGCGGTGACAGTGGGATGCAGTGATCACTTTTCAAGAGAAGCTGCGATGCGATGAGATCAGATGAACTGAGAAAAGATTCAACATTCAAAAGCCATGGCATCAGATTGACACGTCAAGAGCCTGTTGCCCCGAAGCACGGGAGGCTTGCCGGTCACCTATACGCACAGCCTTTGCTCCGCTCTACAAGCTATAAGCGTTTCAAATTTAGACTTCCGCCCCCGGCTTGCCCGGGTACTACTTGTATTTCCATCCTATCCCCATGAATTTACTGGTGGCTATATGATGCTATATATACACTTGATTATATCATATTCTATCTATCCATTGGTGGTTCCACCTCTGTGATTATCCAATCCAACGACGTTACTTTCTCCACATCTTTCATGGGATGCTTAAGAATGCCCATGTTCATCAATATGATGAAAATTGTTTTTTTTTGATCATATTATCCCATATTCATATTCTCCCATATCATCCCCAGGTTTTATCCCCAGGTTTACCCAATGGGGAAGCCCCAAGGTTTAAGAACATGATGATCGATGCCAACAGCCGCGTGACCATGGTGGACTTTGGCCTAGCGGTGCAGGTGGCGCCGGGCCAAGAGCTCCACGACTCCTGCGGCACCGTGCCCTTTGCGGCGCCCGAGGCGCGGCTCACAGATGTCCACAGAGATATGGACAATCTTGTATTGATGCTATTAGCATTAGTAATGGTATATTTACATATATCATATACACTTATATGTAGAATATATCACCTATCTACGAAATAAGTATGTATGGGTTGTAGGTGTGCCATGGTGAGGGCGTGCCCTTTTTCTCTCCCATAAAAGAGGATGATCACCCCCCCATCAATCGGGGATGAATATACAGTACCGATTGTAGGGCATCCCCAATGAGAAAAACAATTCAAACAAGAGTTACAAAAAAATAACATTGTTTTAATTTTTGATATCATACATGGTTATATAGACCCTTTCCATGTGTTGAGCCTAGTTTTAATTCTGCGCATCAGAGTGACAGGACAGCGGTTTGAACTGGAGTTTTGTTCCTCATGTGCAGTGGTGCCATCGTGTGGAATTAACACCGGATGTAATTCTTTATTACTTGGGTGAAATTTTTGCATACCCGAACTTAGTGGAATTAAAACCAAAATTTATTCCCAAAGTTTTCTTGCAACCGTTTGTGGGCAACGCAACAGTTTCCCACGCCAGTGCGGGTACCAATGAAGTGGCAAGAATGTGGGTTTACCGTTTTCTTCAAAAGAAAGCACCCAACCTGTCGTGTGAAAGCAGTGCTTGGCGGAGCCTTCAAAAGAAACAACCATTTTTGCTCCGGTCATTGAGAAGCAATGGGTAGGAAAATCGGTACAGGGGGTCTTGCGGTGCATGCTGAAACTTTTTGGTCGATGGATGTTTCTGTTGAAGAACCCAGAGAGGGCCTGTTAGACTTATGGATGTCCACCTGTTAACTCGGGCAAACGTCATCACTTTCAGAATGGAGAAACATTTCGACGCAGTAGACACTTCTTAGCGGGTCTTTGAAAAGCCCTTGGAAGGCACCGGGGTCTGGAGAGGAATTACATCAGAATTTAATTCTTTGAGACGGGAAACTCTGGGATATTGATCCAAATCTCACAGAATAAAAACTAGATATAAATCCTGCATCTGCAAACGCGTTCGAAGACATACGTAGAAATGATACAACCGATCTTGCAGCCTGAAGGTGTATCCACGTTAACTTCAGAATCCACGAGTTCGTTTGCATTGATTCAATGACAATTTTCTATGAAACAAATAGCATCATGTGGGCCATGTGAATAGTTGCCGCTTCAGTAATTCGCACAGCAAATAAAGCAGGAAAAAACAGATTTAATCCCATTCGGCTCTGCGTGCTTGGTTCGCCACGCGCACACACACATAAATTTAACTCCCAAAGATGAGGTGGTACCTGTCTTCAAGAATTAAAAACTGGATTTGATTCTTTACAATTCCTGTTTTCATTCTCTTCCTCCCTAATGATGATGGGATGACCATACCCCCAGATACCATATTCTAACCATGGCACATACGGTCACATGGGCAACTAGCTGCTTGTCAAGTGGCATGCACCCTCAGCTTGGGTGGATGGTTGCTATACACACTTTGATTTTAAGATTTTCTTGTCAGGTTGGAGGTTTAGATGGGCAAACGCAATCTATCCAAATGAATCAAATGAACGTTCAACTTTTGCGCAGGGGAACAGCAGACCATCAGGTGTAGTTGGTGAAGGTGTGGATGTTGTTGGATTGTTGATTGGGGATTTGTGTTTTACATATTTTTATTTCCACCGGCATGACGTTTTTGGTGATGCTAGCTTTACCTGTGGAATCCAGGTGATGACGTGTAGCAGCACCAAAGGCTATGAGGGTACGTCCGCTGCCACTGGGACTCAGGGTATTTTTATGTGGTTAAGTCCTTGGCTGTTGACGGACCTGAACTTTGGTCCCCACAATAAGGGGCCTCCCTTGGCTCACTTTGGAAGTTTGGGAGCTACTAGACTGAGACAGCACCTTATGAGATGGTGATCTCATGTGATTTCTAGATATTTCTAGCCCAATCGGGCCAATTTTGTCCGGAATTGGCATCACTGAGGACACGTGGAGCATCGCTGTTTGCTTGGTGGAGTTGTTGTGCGGCCTTGGCACAGTGGACAGTCCTCTGGCGGCAATGGATTTTTGTCCCTGCATGATTTTTGGATCGTCGTTGTAGACACAGCTTGTGTTTTGAAGATCTATGTGAATGTGTGATTTGACGCATGGGGTTGGATGAGGCATCATTGGCCTCACACAAGATGATGAAAGTAACTTCGATCACATCGCCCAGCAATGCCTGCTTCTTTGCACGGACTATGTGCACCAGTTGGTGCTGTCGTATGCTGGAAAGGACCGACCCCGTTTGTTGGCCAATCGCATGATCTCGAAGATGTGTAGCTGTAGTCGCTGTCATGGTGATAGTATATTATAGTCATAGTCATAGTTGTAGTCATGGGCATGGTCATAGTTGTCATCACCATCACTCATCATCGCCATACAGATCACCATCACCCTCATCACCAGCCCGCCATGAAGTTGGAACTTCTGTGGCTCAAGGCCATTGTCAGCCCATCAGGACGTGCAAGGCGGCCATCGCAATGACTTGGTAAAGACCATGCGGGGCGTTTTTCGAGAGAATCCCAAGAGTCGGATGTCCGTGCGCGACATTGGGGCGCTGGAGGCCTTTTCAGCGAAGGCCTGGATGACCAAGGGACCTTTTCTGGCTTGGTGACCAAGCCGTAGGGATTTGTGGATCAGAACCCAAGCTGCCAGATTTTGGAGAAAACTCCAGAACTGCCAACTGCCAGAACTGCGACTTATTTTGGTGTGAGCAGGGTTTTGACCCATAAGTCATAAGCATGAAGGTGTGCTTCTTTTTGGGATATGTGCATTTATATATCATATCCAAACTTTTTTTGTTGAGTTGATGTCGAGTGGACTCATCCACCCGATGGCGCGCTCTGATCTCGGAGCCTCTGCACCGCGCCAGGCTGGGCCTTTACCCAAGGCCAAACGTTTGCGGGATCCCAACGACGACGACGAGCGCTCTTCCTGGACGCATTCGCAGATCTCCCAGGGACCCAAGAGCCAGGGCAGCGGAGAGGAGGAGCCAACTTGGAACTAGCCATGGTTTGGTGTTGATTGGGGTTAGAAGTATATAGTTGGCCCGGGAAGTTGAACAACACAGAGAGGGCCTTCTCCGACATTGTCATTTGGGAATCAGGGAAACCGACTTGATTTTAGCAGAGCCACTGAGAATGAAAGTGGTGTGAGAAAGGCCCACCCTGCAGTTACACCCAACACATAGAAACAGGAGACGCTGTCGGACTTGTGCCTTGGCGATTTTCTGTGGGAGAGAGGTGTATCCCCAAGATTGAAGAGATAGAATCGGTAGGGGCCCCACTGTTTTTGGGACACACTTCAGACATGGTGCTTAGCTTCCGAATCGGGCATGTTCTGACTAGATTTAGTGGAGCCTGCCACCAACAGGGTAGCTGCTTGGTTTGGGAACTTGGGGCATTTGGATCTCAGCAGCATGCAGTACTCACTTGTTTCATCATTTTCTTGAAGAGTTCTTTCCCGAAGACTCAGTGAGAGTGCGTTGTTTTATGGCCAGAGAGCAGTTTGTTGATGTTGCGGCAGCTGGGTGCACCTACGGTCACCATGAGCTGTGCAGGTCTGTGAATGAGTGGATGGGCCCCGAAGCCGGCGACCTGCGCCAAGTACTACCACTGTTGGAGCGAATAGGTTCCCAAATTTAGCCATGGGGATCCATGGGGGGTTTGCTTGTTGTGAGGAATCTGCAAATTGTTGCTGTTTTCTTCCTCAATCTCGACATTTGGAACAACCTGATTTGGTTGGCAGGTGGCTCCCAGACGGTGGTGAAGGTAGTGAGCACGGTCTATGATTGGCTTCTGCCACGGCCAGAATTTGGAAAATTCTTCCTGGCTTGCCCATTGATGCTAAGCTGAAAATGCTAGCTGCTAGCTAGACTTATTTAGACTTGAGTTATATAGAGGGGCTTGCCGCCAGCATCGTGCAGTCATGGAAGGGCTGACAACATGTCCCACCGAAGTCATGATAGCGAATGATAGCGATGGAATCTCTTTGAAGCTTCTGACAGCTCGGGTCACATGCCACCGGGTCTCTGCCTTCATTTGGGCTTTGCCTGAGGAAGATGGGCCGCATTCGGGCCGGCATTAGTTGCTCGTCTGGTGCAGTGAAGCCAGGCGAGTTGGTTTTAGCTGCTGCTTGAACTGAGGTTCATTCTTGACGGAGCTCTTGGAAGATTCCACGAAGGTGGGCCGTTGAATAAGTCGAGGATAGTCGAGGTGTTGAAGGTGGGCGGCAGAAAAAAACTGAACAGATAGGTACAGGCGTAACCCACAGCTCTCAGCTCTCAGCTGCGCCCAGGTGGATCTGGAGATGCTGAGCAACGTCCATTGGAACCTCGGCGTCTCAGATTTTCTCTTCACAGACTTCGCCGACGCGCTGCTGGAGGCTTTCCGAACCTGGGGCTCCCGAGGTGCCATGGCAAGGATGGCTTTGGGATTTAAATGAACCACCCAGGATTCAGGAGTTGTAGGAGCTTGCATCAGCTTTGATGCTTTGTTGTCCAGTTTCATTTGTTGGAATATGTCCCGAATTTACTGTAGCACTGTAGATCTGTTTGCCAATGACTTCTGTCTTGTCTTTTTTAGGAAGGGTGTAGCCAACAGTTCAGCTAACATTTCAACACCATCATGGAGTTCTAGCACCAAAAAAGCCCCCACACTTGAACCTCACAGTTCACCTTGACCAGGCGAAGGAGGGAGAAAGGGAGAGAGATTTATATAGAATTTATCAAAAATCATCAAAACACACAGCGGAGAGAGAGAGAGAGAGAGAGAGAAAGAGACATGGTGAGTAGTGGTAACTATCCCACAATGTCATTCTTTCAGGTTGGTGAACTATTCCTATTCAGCCAGATGAGAGAGAGAGAGAGATATATATATATATGTATATGTATAAAATAGTCCCCATACAATTCATCTATCCCATTGGTGAATCCCGGTGGTTATTAATGTCAACCCCGGATTAAGAGATACCCCCCAATCAAACAGCCTAGGGGTTTATTTATCCAGGGTTGACATTACCCAGCATTTTCCATGGATCTCCTAGGTGACTCCAACATGGCGGAGATCCAGAGATGTCTGGAGAAGGTGCGGCTCCCCATTACTGCAGGGCACCGTGCACGCCTGGCGGCTGCGCAGACGGACCGCTGCCCTCAGGACGGGGTGAGGGCAACTTGAAGATGGCTTGGGAAGACATGGGAAAACTGGGCACTCCAAATTTGGATTGGTTAGTGAAAAATTGCCGAACATTTGTGTGTTGATAATTTGGACAGTTGAGTTTCAAGATGGTGAAGCATCGAGCATATTCCAAAATGGCCAGTGGGTCGATGGGCCGATGGGTGTTGGCCCCACCACTCCTCATGTTAATGTTGGGCTTTTACAGCATGGTGTCCAAAGTTCAACAACACATGCATAGACATGGGCCATGGGATCTCCTAAAATGGCTGATTCTCCCGAACCTGCTGATGCGGTGATCGTACCTTGTGCCAGTCAGCTCCATGCACTTAGGCAGCGCAAGAAACAGTGGCGCTTTTCACAGCATATCTATGCATATCTTATCTCTACATCAGACGCGCACATTTGTTTATTATGTATATATATATATAATGCTCATCACCACGCTTAACCAACTTTGGGCTTCCCCTACCTTTGGTTGATCCATAAACTCCAATCACAAAATATCACAAATGCACCAGCGCACAGAGGTGTCAATACCTACCTATATACATACACACGTATGTTTGCATAGATCTTAAAGCCAGCCACCAGGAGATCGTTTGGCTAAACAGCAGTTTGGACTGCTCCGAAGACGACTTCGCCCAAGCGCTTTCTGACCTGTTGCTACAGGATGCGCGGCTGGAGGTGTGACCGTGGTTGGAAAATGGTCAAGCCCAATATCTCGTAGATGGTACGTGGAATAGGGCGCCCCAAACTGAATAGACCTAATACTCAACCAGTGTTTCTAGCACGTATTTTTTCTTACAAGGCGGGATGCAAAAGTGGTACCCAACCGGCCCCTCTTGTCATACAGGACAACCTACCCTACTGGAGATTTGGGGATTCGGACCGTGGATCGACTCAGCGGGAAAATCTACAAATCACAGACTTCAGTTATATTGTTATACCAGTAGTACCGCACAAGGCGGTGGCAGAAGTTTCAAAAATAGGAAACCTATAGGAGAGGTTGGTTGTTGTGACTCACGGATGGCAGAGCGAATCCACTGATGGACTGAAAGGTGGTGGTTGGAGTTGTGTTTTTTGGAGTGGTTGCAATGGTTGCAGTGGTCACCTCACCACAACTGCTGGATGTTGTGTGGTGTAGTGCAGTTGCACTTGTAGTTGTAGTGTAGTGTAGTGGAGTCGTAGTTGTAAGTTGTAGTTGTAATGTAGTGTAATTAGTGTAGCGCAGTTGAAGTTGCAGTTGTAGTTGTGGTGTGGTGTAATTAGTGTAGCGTAGCGTTGTGTAATGTAGTGTAGTTTCATGTGTATTTGTAGCTGTAGCGTGCTGCAGTTTAATTAGCGTAGTGTAGTGTAATGTAGTGTAGCCGTAATTAGCTGCGGTGGTGGTGGTAATAGAATTATTATTATTATTATTAGTAGTAGTAGTAGAAGTAGCAGTAGCAGTAGCAGTAGCAGTAGCAGTAGCAGTAGTAGTAGTAGTAGTTGTTGTTGTTGTTCTTGTTGTTGTGGTGGTTGTGGAATGTAGTGTAGTATAGTGAAATTAGATGTAAGCTGTAGTGTAGTGTAATTAGTGTTGTGTAATGTAGCGTAGTATATTTGCATTTGTAGTTGTTGTAGTGTAGTGTAGTGGTAGTTGTAGGTGTCTATCTATCTATCTATCTAACTATCCATCTATCTATCTATCTATCTAGCTATCTATCTATCTATCTATCTATCTGTCTTTCTGCAAGCTTGAAAAGGAAGCTATTCGGCGAGACGTCCTCAGTTTTTGAACTGGACAACATCAAAAACGAAGCAAGTCTGCGAGATTTCTCAATTTTGGAAGTTGACAGCATCAAAAACGAAGCAATTCTGCGAGACTTCCTCAATTTCTGAAGTTGGCCACATCAAAAAAAAGCAATTTGTGTCCTTCAATAATGGAAAGTTGAGTGCAGAGCTGACGGCCTCGTACCAATGCGTTTTGCGATTTTTCCAGTCCATGTCTCTGAAGTCTTGGGCTTGCAACGAAAAAAAGTGGCGCCAGGTCATAAAAGTGCTGCACTTGTCAAGCAAAATCATCTTCACAAAGCTGACGACCTCATGCTCCAACATGCAACCCCTCTCAGGAAATCTCCGCCTTGACCACCTAACACATCTAACTCATGTGTCTCTTGTATTGCGCCTGCCATGCGAAATGCATCTGTCCAGATCCTCTTCAAATGTTCCACGCCTGCCATCGTTTTTGAAACTGCTACAAAACCATCACGTTTGGCTCATTTTTGACAAGGTGCACAATCCCTGCTGCCTACCACGCGAAACGACACCTGAACGTCCAAAAGTGCTCCGTACCAATAAGTTTTTTTTTGTATTTTTGACTTCGAAATGTGCTTTGCGCCACAACGGCGTGCACTTTTTCGACATGTCAACTTCCAAATGTGGTTTGAGAATGGTGTGTATTGTACATTTTGACTTGGAAATGTGCTTCGCGCCACAACGGCGTGCATTTTTTCGACGTCACAGCTTCTAAAAGTGCTCCGAGGCTGAAGTGTTTTGTGCATTTTGACTTCGACATGTGCTTCGCGCCGCAACGGCGTGCAATTTTTCATCTCTCATCTGGCCAGATGGCTCCGCACCCACCGCTTTAGCCAGCGCTACTTTTCGACCCTCCGGAGCCACAAATCATTGGAAAAACGCAGTGCTTCGCGACTTTCCTACATTTTCGCGCACCTGCATCTTCTTTCTTCTGACTTTCCCTTCTTTGATCTTCTTTCTCTTCTCTCTTTCTCTTCTCTTCTATTCTCTGACTCTTCATCTCTGCTTTTCATCTGTCCATACTGTCGGAAGTTTGACTTCTAAACTCGCTTCGATAATATACATTTATTCAATATATTGCAGGTTTTCTTTTTCCATGTCGTTCCCCAAAGGTTGGGGTCCTGCCGCACCAAACTGGAGAGTTATTGGGATGGGATGATTCTGTGGAGGCCTGTTTGAATGAAGATATGCGCGACCAGATGAGCTCCTCTGCTGTCCTGAGCTTTGCCAGGAGCTGTCCAGAGCTGCAGGGGTTTTGCTTTGTTTGAAAATTTGGTACCACAAAATCCTACGGGTGAATCATCATTTTCCCCATTTTTCGTGGCCATTTGGGGAGAATATCCGGTTTACCCAAATTTCAGGTCCATAGTTACATTTATTGTATGTTCTATTTCAGGATGGTCTCTATGGTATTTTTTTTGCCTGGTTGCGAGTTCTGAGGTTGAATCCAAAATGGTTATATAGGTCCAAACGCAACTGAAATCTGAGAATATCCACATGGTAGAGGCCCAAAGTAAATCCAAATGGTTGAAGTCAAGGTGAAATCCAAATAGTTGAGGCGGAGAGCCCCTGTTAGTTGCAATGTTGGTAACAACAGCACACACACAAGCACATGCAATGATATGCGCACATGACATGTATCGAGGTGTGGGTAGCCCTGGAACGACTAGATGACAATTGCATAAGCATACACATACGTATATATATATATATATACACGTATCCGAACATAGATGCATATTACAGTAAATACATATACAATATATATATATATATATACATGTATATATATATACACATATAGGCGCATATTAATACATACATTCATTACCTATACGCTTCTTACATTACTTATATTCAGCATTCGTAGAAAAGAATCTCCATCCCAATGAACCAGCATGGGGGTACAGGGCCAGCTTGCCCCTGTGATGCGCGCGAGGACGTTCTGGCAGGGATCAGTGGACGGGGCTATGGAGGCAGGGTGATGCTATGGTTGACTGGCTCCCGCAAAGTGTGGCACTGTGGCGACCCGTGCGCGATTTCTCAGTTGGCTTTTAAACTCCCAGTAACTAGATAGCAGGTAGATAAGATAAGATATGACAAGATACGTCTGCATGGAGGGCGCAGACAAGATAAGATAAGATAAGATAAGACAAGATAAGATAGGACCGGACAGGACAGGAAAGGACAGGACAGGACAAGATAGATAGATAGATAGATAGATAGATAGATAGATAGATAGAGAGAGAGAGAGATAGATAGATCGATAGATAGATAGATAGATAGATCGATAGATAGATAGATAGATAGATACATTAGTTTAGATTAAATTAGTTTAGATTAGCTTAGATTAGGTTAGGCAGATAGATTATTTAGATAGATTAGTTAGATCGATTAGTTTGATAGATTAGTGAGATAGATTAGTGAGATGGATTATAGAGATAGATGGGTTTTGGGGCATGTATTAACGTTCATGTGAACTTGCACATGAAGTAGATGCTACGCTGTGGCTGTCGGTTGGGGCATGTATTCATGGGTGGGGTGTGGGGTGGGGTGGGGTGGGGTGGGATAAAACCGTCACTGGCTCTCGCACACATACGTCATGCTACGCTACTGGACATTCTGTTGGACTTCCACACATACGTCAGGCTACGCTACTCTACATTCTCTTGGACTTCCTTCCACGCGTACGTCATGCTACGTTACTGGACGTTCTCTTGGACTTCCACACGTCATGCTACGCTACTTTGCGTTCTCTTGGGCTTCTACGCGTAGGTCATGCTATGCTGCTGTACGTTCTCTTGGGCTTCCAAGCGTGCATCGTGCTGCGCTACTGGATGTTGTCTTGGACTTCCACACATCAGTCATGCTACGCTACTGTACCTTCTCTTGGACTTCCACGCGCACGTCATGCTACGCAATGTTCTCTTGGACTACTTCCACGCGTGCGTTCTCCTAGGTTCTTAATGAAGTGGGCGTTGCGTTCATACGTCCATGATGATCAAGTAGATGAAAGGTTCTTAATGAAGTGGGCGTTGCGTTCATACGTCCATGATGATCAAGTAGATGAAAGAAATGATGATGATGATGATGATGATCATGATGATGATGGTGATGATGATGATGATGAAGTAGATGCTACGCTGTGGCTGTCGGATGGGGCATGCATGCGCGTTCGTGTGAACTTGCACATGAATTAGGTGCTACGCGGTGGCTGTCGGTTGGGGCATACATTCACGCTCATGTGAACTTGCACATGAAGTAGATGCACGGTTCGGGGGGACACAATATGTGTTCATGTGGTGCTGGCCATCAAGCTTGCAGAATCCAGATCCTACAAGGTTCTTGGAAGAACTTGAAGCGCTGCTGTGAACAAAAGACGGCTGAAAAATTGTGAAGACGAATTAGTTGGGGTGGCTTTGAAGAAAACCCCCAAATTATGGTTTCGCATGGGCGAAATGACTGTTTTCATTTTCTGCTTGGAACTAAGGCACGGCCTTTACACTAAAACCCACACGAACTACTACCGGCACGAGCACATCAAACATGATCAAAAACATCCGATGAATCATAAAAACACGCCCATCTAAAGGCCGTGCTCCTACTTAGATAAAAGCTCGATAGATTAGATAGATGGATTAGTTAGTTAGTTAGTTAGTTAGTTTAGTTTATTAATTTAGTTAGTTTGTTCTGTTAGTTAGTTTGATAGATCGATCGATAGGTCGATGGACGGATGGATAAATAGATAATTAGATATATTGAGTAAATTTGGCAGATAGGTAGATAAGATAGAAAAGATAGATAAGATAGACAAGAAAAACAAGATAGATATGATAGGTAAGACAGATAAGATAGATAAGATAGATGAGAACAGGTTAGATGCATAAGGGAGATTGGACAGATTGGATATATGGATGACATAGATGACATAGATGAGGTAGATTAGATGGATCAGATGCATTACGAAAGCTAGCTTGTGCTAGCTGAAGTTGCTCTTGCTTTAGCAAGGAATAGGCAGGCAAGGACCATTGGAAACCCTGAAGTTAGACCCCCCACCCTCCTCCCCCCTCTTCAATCCCCCCTAGGTCCCCCTGAATTGGTTTCCTGCAGGTATAGCGTCGTGGCCTTCAGAATTGCATCTTCAGGACGTCATGTTCAGTATACCAACCATCAACTCTATAAAATCATCATCGGAAACGGAAACTTACCAGCTTCGAAGTGATCATGATTATCTTCCTCTTCCTCTTCCTCTTCCTCCTCCTCCTACTCCTCATCCTCCTCATCCTCATCAGCGTCATCAGCCTCATCAGCCTCATCAGCCTCATCAGCGTCATCAGCCTCATCAGCCTCATCAGCCTCATCAGCTTCATCAGCCTCATCAGCCTCACCATCCTCCTCATCCTCCTCCTCCTCATCATCATCATCATCACCATCATCACCACCACCATCACCGTTATCACCGTCCTTGTCCTCACCGTCTTCACCGTCATCACTGTCACTGCAATCACCCTCATCACCGTCATGACCGTCATGACCGTCATCGCCGTCATCACCATCATCATCATCATCACCACCATCATCATCATCATCATAATCATCATCATCCCCATCCTCATCCTCATCCTTGACAGATAGACAGATAGACAGAAAGACAGATAGACAGGTAGATAGATAGATAGATAGACAGATAGATAGATAGATAGACAGACAGACAGACAGACAGATAGATAGATAGATAGAGAGATAGAGAGATAGATGGATAGAAAGAGAGGCAGGAAGGAACATAGACAGGCAGACAGATAGACAGACAGATAGACAGACAGACAGGCAGATAGACAGACAGATAGATAGACAGGCAGGTAGATAGACAGATAGAAAGATAGATAGACATATAGATAGACAGGTAGATTATAGACAGACAGACAGACAGATAGATAGACAGACTGATAGACAGGCAGATAGAAAGACAGATGGACAGATAGACAGATAGACAGATAGATAGACAGACAGATAGATAGACTGGTAGATAGACAGACAGACAGGTAGACAGGCAGACAGATAGACAGACAGATAGGCAGACAGACGGATAGACAGACAGATCGATAGATGGACAGATAGATAGACAGATCGAGAGGTAGATAGATAGATAGATAGATAGACAGACAGACAGATAGATAAATAGACAGAAAGATAGACAGGTAGATAGATAGATAGATAGATAGATAGACAGGTAGATGGATAGACAGGCGGACAGACAGACAGGCAGACAGACAGATAGATAGATAGACAGGTAGATAGACAGATAGATAGATAGACAGATAGATAGATAGATAGGCAGATAGACAGCTAGATAGAAAGAATAGACAGGGGGATAAATAGACAGATAGATCGATAGACAGATAGATAGATAGACACAGAGGCAGACAGACAGATAGACAGGCAGACAGATAGACAGACAGACAGATAGACAGATAGGCAGGTAGACAGACAGGTAGGTGGAAAGATAGATAGACGGATAGATAGACAGATAGAAAGATAGACAGGTCGACAGAGAGACAGACGGATAGATACATAGATAGACCGGTAGACAGATAGATAGACAGAAAGATAGGCAGGTAGATAGACAGATAGATAGACAGGTAGATAGATAGATAGGTAGATAGACAGACTGGCAGATGGATAGATGGATAGGTAGACAGATAGATAGACAGATAGGCAGATAGACAGGTGGAAAATAGATAGGCAGGTGGATAATAGATAGACAGATACACAGATAGATAGATAGATAGATAGATAGATAGATAGACAGACAGACAGACAGACAGACACAGAGAGAGAGAGAGATCGATAGATAGATAGACAGATAGATAGACAAATAGATAGATAGATAGATAGTGATAGATAATGATAGATAATGATAGATAATGATAGATAATGATAGATAATGATAGATAGATAGACAGATAGATAGACAGGTAGATAGATAGATAGGTAGATAGACAGACTGGCAGATGGATAGATGGATAGGTAGACAGATAGATAGACAGATAGGCAGATAGACAGGTGGAAAATAGATAGGCAGGTGGATAATAGATAGACAGATACACAGATAGATAGATAGATAGATAGATAGATAGATAGATAGACAGACAGACAGATAGATAGATAGATAGATACATAGATAGATAGATAGATAGATATATAGATGGATAGATAGATAGATAAGATAAGATAAGATAAGATAAGATAGATAGATAGATGGATAGATAGATAGATAGATAGATAGATAGATAGATATCGTTGTAAACCCACTTCGCTATTTGGCACCTGATGACTGCAGGTGGTCTTCGCTGGGGAGACACCGCTCTTCCAGCAAGACATTGGGGCCGTGTCCCTCTTCTGCGAGAACGTCCGGCAGGTCTTAGCCGAGATAGGTGGGGGGCCACGTGGGGAAAGGGAGTGAAAGAGTTTATGATTCCTTATAACGACAATAACGGACCCAGTTGGCTGATTATGATTTGACTTGAAGATGCAGACTACCACCAGGAACAACAAGACTCAGAACACCTAGTAACCTACCAAGAATATCCAAGAATCAACATCAACTCAAGCAGTATACCAGCAGGATTGGCATCGCAGGTGCGTACCAGACCCAACAATTCGGCCAGGAATGGAGGAGTCCGATGCCAGAGACATTCAGGTCCCAAGGGGCCGTGAGTTATCTTCTGGGCACTTCACAATTGTTCCACAATTCAAGATAATCATCCCAAGAATGCATCTGAAGAGTCCATACCGTTTCGACCCCCCCTATTTACCTTTTAAAAGGACGTATCATCCTCTTCTCAGCATGATTCTCCAGTTGTCCATGCGTATCTCTCCGCCGTGCAGGTCTTGATGGAGCATTCTGGCGAACTGGTCTTGAACCGCGCACGAAACGCCAAATTGGTGCAGTCTCCATCAATGGCCCATGACATCACCTGGTTCACCAAGACGCTGACGAGCCTCTGTAAGGCTCTCGTCTATGCTGGGGTCATGTTCGGTTTGAAATTACAGGGTTTCTGGTATTCCTGCCCCGAGTTGAAGGGGTTTTCTCTTGCCCAGAGAAGTTGTTGATGTTGTTGACCTTCGGCAGGCGGATCCTTTCCTCCAGTTCTTTGCAGATAATCCCAAGATGCAAAACTGCATGGAATCCATCTTCGGACTGGTGATGAATGGTGGCACGCCACCTGCAGGGCCAAGCTGGAACAGCCGACTCAGGATGGGTGAGTGCGGGGAAATTGTTCAAAATTTAGGATGATATATAAAGGGTTTCCGAAGATCTTCATGTCAGTGTTGAGGTGATTTGAGGATATTTCATGGTATTTCGATGCATTTCAGGATATTTCAGATGGTGTCCCCTGGTCGACCATGGCATTTGACTGGCCGCAAGCCGGCCGAAGATGTGCCGTTGGGGACATATGGCAAAAGCGGGTCAAAACCACTGGTGCCAAATGTATCCAAATGTGCTAATTCTATCTAATTCTTTCACTCACCTCGCAATCCAAAGGCTTCTCAAGAGACGGACGCAGGACAGCGCATCAAGACCTCTACCTCACCGATGCCAGGAGCTGGGTGTTCGGGGTCGCAGAGGTTTCGTTGTTTTATTTTGGCTCACACAATTTTCCCAAAGCGACAGAAAGCCGCCCAAATGGTCGAATTTCTAATTTTACCAGGGAAACCATTTTCAAACCATTTCCGTCTGGCACTGGACATTCTTGGATATTGCAGTGCGTTCCACTGATCAGATCACGGATGGTTGAGACGCACTGCATGGATAAGGCACGAAATCCCACCCCCTACTGTCGAAACATCTTGGGCGCTAGGTACAGTGCCTTCATCGCCCACATCGACAAGGTTTTACGCGCCATGTTCCCCTGGCCAGTACACCCTGCGGCCGTTGCCAACAGCAACATCCGATCTTTGGAGGGATTCCGAACAGAGGTTCTTTGTGGAAGCACTTTGCGAAGTTCTAGGCTGGGTCCATGTTCTCCCAAAAGAATTAGTTGCAAGAAGGAACATAAAGTCGGGCTAAGTTAACCTGATCACTGTTAGCTGTTAGAGCAATTACTGTAGGCCCGACATTGGATTAGGATGCTGATGGTGGAGATCCAAGGCGGCCCAAAAATATCCCAAAGTAGTACTGACCATGCACAGCTCTTGGCAGGCTGCAAGCGGTGGAGGGGATGCTGAATTCCAGCGACTCCAGCAAGCAGCGGGTAGCCCGGCAAGCGCGCAAGGGCCGCGTGGTGTCCGCAATGCAACGCTGTGCTGTGCAGCTGTTCAACGCCATTGTTTTAGACCCCCGGGTGGCAGTGTTCTTCAAGAACAGCGACCCTGCCTGTAAGGACCTGTGCGCTCAGTGGGCTGGCTGATGCTGTAAGAGTAGGTGCTAACCCCCGATGTGAACGATAAGGGTCTCAAAACAGACCTCAAAAAGCACTTCTTGCCCAACCGCCTGCTGTCATTGAGGACCGAAAAGCCAGATATTTGGGCTGCGCCCTTGCTGGCAACTTGCCAACCGTCTCGGCGCACGCCGGGGCCGGGGCAAACCCGCCTTCGACGCCGGCGTCGGAGAGGTCGGAGAAGTCCACCATCTCTCCAACATCGAGCCTGAAGCAGCAACATCAGCATTTTCGCATCTCGGACTACCATTTTGATGTCTTCCTGGATCATGTGCGAAGGGCACTAGCCGGAGAGGATCCTGAGGCTGGAGTCCGCAGGGAATGACTTGCACATTTGGAGACTGGGAACTCATGGACGTGGAGGACAAGTTCACATATGAGTACATATGAACATCGTATGTTCATATTGATCAAATAGTGGAGATATGCATGTCAAGCTTCATCAAGATGTCAGCCGACATGGGACGATTTGTAATACATGGCAGCTTGCTGACTTGCCATGCGTAATGGTGTCCTTTGGACAGCCCTTGCCGCACCAGCCATGGGACAAGCGGCGTGACCTCATACATTTTGTATGAACCTTGAATCTGTCAATGCTTTTTTCCAGGCTGCCAGGCATAGTGATATTCAAAAGCATCATGCCATTGTCTCACACAAAAAAAGCATGGTATGTCAATGTATGTCACACCAAGAACTGTTTTCATCATATCTCATCTGTCTTGTATTTCATCGCATTTCACATTCCCCACATTCTTTTGGGTTCCCAACCGCCACCAGACTCCATCCATGGCCCCAGGCGGCTGACTTGGCCCCGGCGCAGCTGGAGGCGCTGCGGCCCAACGTGGTGATCGACTCGCGTGCGGCCTGCCCGGTGAGCGGCGCCACCGCCTCCAACGGCCGAGGCTGCCCCTTCCGGCGGCCCATGGTGGAGGGAACACCGTTGCTGGAGAAGGTGCGGATGGGATGGGGAATGGTTGGGATGTTTGGGATGTTTGGGATGGTGAGTTTCAATAGTTTGTGAGTGATTTCAAGGTGACTATGTTTGGTGGTTTATATTATTCTTATATACCAGCGCTAGGTATATATATATATATATCATTTTTTGGGTAGTAGTGTATTTAGACGACCTTTATTTCACGTGGTTCTTCCGGCTGTTTCAACATTGTTGGAAGTCAGTATATCACCAAAATAATTGCGAGGCACCTTTCGATCTCCTCTAAGGCTCCTTTAATGGTTTGTTTCCTTTGTCGCACATTTTTGTTCCCTTGGGAGTCAGTGGCGAACACCCAAAAACACCCAAACATTGAATATATAATTTAATCAACGAACAGTGAGCCGTACCAACAATGGGAAGATAAGTAACACATATATAGGGATACAAGCTTGGTTTCGAATACTGTACTTTCAAATCTGCCAGGTTTATCAATATTTGGGGATGACGATTCCCAATCAACTTTAATTTTTTTTGATCCACCGATGTTGGCAAATGTCTAGGAAAGCCATTGCTGCCAAACTGTCCCATGAAACTAGGATTTCAAACATGAGCAAAACAGCTGGCTGTTGGATTTAGCCCTGCCAGGTGGGTGGCACGGAGGAGATCGAAAAGATCCTGACCTTAATGGAAAGAGAGGCGGGACAGAGGTCAGGGATGGGGGAACCTCAGGCGAGGGTTGAACTCTAGAGGCGAGCGGAGAGGCATAGCATACCAGTTGTGTCAACAGAAAGGTGGAGCAGCCTCCATCAGCAACTAGGTATAACTAGGTTGGATCTGGCTACAGGTGCAGGAGTGGAGGAGTGGATTTGGGTTTGCTTCAGGCAGTGGATGATTATTCCCTGCAGCATCAACTGCAGACATGACCGGGGTCCAAAGTCCTAACCTGCATTGCCTGCTCCCTCTGTTTTGTATTTCGTTTCAAGGTTTGTCTCAGTGATAGAAGCTGTTGCCATGTGGCTTTGGCCTTTGTGGTGCGCATTCCTATGGCATGTTGCTGGACATCAAGGCATTCCTCAAGATGAGCTCGGTGGCATTGGTGGCGATGGATGGGTTGAGCTGCCAAAGGTTGTGGATCCCACTTGCAGCTGCCAGCCCTCCAGTTCCGCCAGTGATGGGGAGCTGCTTCAACTCTCTCAATGGAACTGCCTTCGAATCCACCAGGCAGGCGTTGATTATGCCACGCTGGCGGCCAACTACGGTCAGAATGTGAACCAGGATCCGGGTTGCCCCAACCTACTGAAAGTAAATGATTGCTACACGGGGATGGAATCAGGTGATTTTTATGTGCTGATTTCCACCCACCCCTGAGGATTGGAAGGAACGGCTCCAAGCCGCCACTGCCATGTGCGACCAAGCAAAGAAGGAGACGGACCTCAAGGCCGCCGCACAAAGCGCCTGCTGCGCTTGGGGGGATGTCTTAATGCAGCAGCGTGAATGCTGCAACGTGCCGGGCCCCCCCTACTGCACCAATCCCACCGACTCCAAGCTGGGCCATGCATCAGCGCTGGTACTGGCACTGCTGCTAGCATTGCTGGCAGCGGGGCTGCCCAAGTGTGGGGCCTCCTTCTTTGCACCGAGTCTGATGCTGGCGAAGGCTTCAGCCCCAGTTGAAGAGGATGAGGCGCAGGAGGTCTATCGAGCCAAAGCCGCCCCCCAAGTCTCTGAGTTGGCCCAGGAGCTAGAAGCAACTTGGGAAAGGTCTTCCCTGCGCAATTTGAAGCAGGCAAAGGAGTGGAAGGCGCATTCAGCACATTGCTTCGCGGCCATGCAGGTGGCCTTTGATTTTCAGAAGGACTCGGTGAAGAACCAATATGAACACTTCATTTCGCTCTTGCGCTCCCATGTGTCAGTTGTGTGTGACCGGGAGAAGCGAAGGCAACCACAGATTTGCGAAGAAACTGCGCTTCTGGCACATGCCCTAAAAGAGTTTCTCAGCATAAATTATGATGACTTTGGCTGGCTTTGTGCAGGTCAAGAAACCAAAAATCAAGGCAACCGAGTCAAATGACTGATGTTTGAGGTATGAAAGGAATGGGGGAAATGCTTTTGCAGTGCCAGAACCCTCCAGAAAGCACTAAATGTGCACCAATGAGATCAGAGCCTTCACATTGACTTGGTTACTTGGTTGGGTCCAAGCTGGGCATCTTACAATTTTCTGTCCTACCCGCCAGGCAAAAATGAGATGATTTGCCCGTCATTGTGTAGCCAGTGCAGTTTGTTTACCCGAGTGTGAGCCGCGTGATTTCTACAGCACAGGTCCCAAGAAAGCCAGAACAGTGCATGCACATACACAGATAGATATATGATATACAATGACATACAATGACACACAGAGAGAGAGATATATATATATATATATTATATATATATACATATACACATATTATTTATCTGTGTGTGTGTGTGCATCCCCTCTACTTTATATGTTTAGAGGAGCCCTGCACAGTCAATTATAGTAAGTCTTGACTCATGGCAACTCACACGATGGCACGTTTGGCCAAGGCTTCACGATGACATCCTTGCCAGTTGTCTCCCCTGGCAGCAGCAGTTTTTGAGTGTCAGTCAGGAGGCAGAGCTGGGTGCTAGCCAGCGGCATCAGTGGTGTAGCATCAAAGATGCAGGGGCCAGGTACCCAGCCGCCTTCAGAGAACTGGAGGAGCTGGTTCTATTTCTGCTGATCTGGGGGGAAGCTGGGAACCTGCGTAACATGCCAGAGATGTTGTACTTCATCTACCATGTGATGTTGGAAGCTGACAGTTCCTGCCACTTCCAAGCTGGTGCGGTTGTCTCGGCCCTCAGGGCTTCAGGAAGCCTTCATGGCAGCAGCCATGCCTTCTTGGTGGACATTGTGCGACCCATCTACCGGGTGATCTTTGATGAACACTATGTGGCTGTCAAGGTGAAACCTGATGGCAAAGATGACAAAAAAATACGTCCCACCTATGATCGCTATTTGCCCCCTGACTCCGCAAATTATGATGACTGGAACGAGCTCTTTCAGGACGCAGTAAGATTGTTAGATGATGTTAGGTGTCACTGTTCCGGTTCGTACGGAATATATGGGAAAAACTCAGGTTTGCCAAAGATGTCGCAATAGAGAAGGAATTTGACTCATATCACATCCCGCAGTTCAATTGCAGGACATCCCCAGATTGCTTGGAAAGGTCGCTGCGCTGATGCGACAGTCGAGGACTCGACGCTACTATTTCTTGAGGCAATTACCATGGAGGAAGATATTGAAAGATGCCAAGACCCATCGCGAGCTGCACTCCTGGTGGGGTGTGTGGGCAGGAGCTGAGCGGGCCAAAGTTTGGCGAGACTCCAGTTTTCGAGTGGCATCAAATTATCGGAGTGTCATGGAATTCAGCCAAGTTGGTTGCAAGGGAAAGATGAAAGGGCTGAAAGGGCAGCAGGTACTTGACCCAGTGCCTTCCGATTTCCTAAACTGATTTTTATCCCCAACCATGTCAACCAGCTGGGCCGGGGATGAGTGTTTGCCTTGGCAGGAACGCATCGAATTTGGTTTTTGCACAGCTTGCTCTTCTTCCTGTCGATGTTCTGGGTTTCTTCCCGCAGCTTTCAAAGCAACGCTTCAGGCGCCAGGAAAAACGGGAAAGCCTTGGATGATCTCGAGGTGAATTTCCAGTGTCATCAAGGCTTTCCTATATTGAAGAATTTGACGACCATGATTTTAGATGATTTTAGGCCTTAGGATGCCTTAGGCTCCCCTGACCTCTCCATGAGAGCTGCATTCCTTTGAGGCTGGTCCGTGTTCTTGGGCGGCAACTCGCCCTTGGTGTGCCTTAGCTTTGTGGGGCTGCTGGTGCCTGCGCACCTGTTCCTCTGGAAATTGGGAACTTGGTTCACCACTGGCATTGCGTTGCGCCGTGGCAGAGCCTTGGGAGTGATACTCTTCATCCTTCAGGCGCGGTGTTCATATGAATTTGCAGATACGCAAAAAAAATTGATGAAATTGACCAACAAAGCGTAGCTGAACATCAGCATATAGAAGACAATCGATTCCATGTCACAACCTGAATTCAGATATACACACACATATATATATAATATATTTATGTATACATACACATATTCCATTAAGTTTACATCATTTCAGCAGGTGCTTTGTGGCTGCATTCCGGTGGTTACCTTCCTTTTGGTGCGCTACCTGGATGCGGTGGATTCCCCCGAGCTTTCCGCGGCGCTGTGGATCCACGCCTTCGTTTGCTGCCTGGGGGCCCTGGTGATCCTGCTGCAGCCCTGCGAGAACGGCGACAAGCTGCGCCACGCCACGGGCTCCTCCTGGACGGCCAAGCTGCTGCGCTGGCTCTTTTGGGTCACCGTGCTGGCTGTGAAGTGGCTGGTGGGCCTAGGCGCGGTGTCGAAGGGAGCAATATGTGGCTGGTAGAAGTTGGGAAGCAATGTCAAGATTAACTGATTAACATTTGATAATTAATATTTGGGGCAAAAATATCATTGACACACACACATGGAGAGATGTGGGCTGTACTGTATATATATATATATATAATATATATATATATATTATACATGATTGCATAATTTTTTGAGGACATGATGTGACATAAACATACATAAACTTCATCGGGTTATGAAAACGCGTGAGGTTGCTCTGCCCCTGAGGCAGCATCGCGGCCACCCAGCAGGCCATCACAGACCTGAGGACCAGTCAGCCGGGTCGGGAGGCGTTGAACGAGCTGCCGCAGGTGGCCTTCGGGCCCAACTGGGACAAGGCTGGGCGGCTGGGCGGCTGGGCGGCTGGGCGGCTGGGACGGGATCTGAGGATGGATTAAAACCAGGAGATTTTGGGATACCGTATTTTCAGAACCCATCTGGGGATGGATGGAACATACCCAAAAAAACAGTTTAAACAAAGTATCAAAAAATATCAGTTTCCATAGATTTGGGGCGGGAACATCCATTTCGTATTGTGCCATGGCAGATTTGGAGGTGGCTGGGATGGAGGTTAAGATCGAAACAGGAAACGGAACAATTTTAACACATCTTGGGACTACTGGCAGGACATGGTGGAGTGGCTGGCAATTTGGGGCACTGGTTTCATTTGCTACGTTGCGGACACGCAGTACTGGTTCGTCCTAGGCTGTGGTTTGCTGGGCTTCGTTCTCTCCGTGTATCAGCGGGGTTGGCGCCTCTATACGCTGGTCATTCGATTTGCATTTAAAGTTTGTTGGAATAGCTTGTTTCACAGCCATTTTAATACCATGGGATTTTGGGATTCCATATGTTGAAACGATCCCATCCCTGACATTTCTGCTTGGTGCAGTGTGATCAACTCCCTTTAAACTGCTTAAAGTGGGGATGGATCTCCCAAAATCTACCCCCCGGTCCAGTTCCGTCCCATTGACACGTCCAAGGTCTCCGAGGACGCCATTTGTGGCGTGCCCCAGCGCTTCGCGGAGCGGGTGATCCTCGCAGCTCCGCGGGGGAACCAGAACTTTGCGTCGCAGGCGCAGGGCCCAGTGCCAGTGCCTTCAGCTCGGAGACAGTGGTGGGTCAAGTGGTTTCCGGATTTGTGGGACCGACCCTTGGCTGCCTGGGTTTTGGTTTCTTGAAGTTTCTTGTGATGTTTTTTTTTCTTTTCCATCCTATTTGTAACATAGGTTCGACATGGTTCGACGATTTGCACTACTGTTCTTGATCTATTTTCGCACTTTTGGATACTTTTGGGGCATTTACATGGTCATCTACGTTTCTTTTTTCTCTTTCGGATCGCTCAAACAATCCATTTGTAATATAAGATTAGGCCAGCTAGTGGTGTTCTTGGTGCGAAAATGTACTGGAGCACTGCTAAGGAATCGTTGACTTCATGCATTGCGAGGACAAATTAGACGATTTCATCATTGGGCAGATGAAATTCGGCCCGGATGCGCGAAATCGAGTGTCCATGGAAATGTTATGCCACGAACCCATTGAAGCGAAGAGCAGGCCGGTTTTGTGATGCAGTGGAGCATGCTGCTGATGTCGGGTCGAAAAGGAAGGGATTTGATCAACATCGCTAACTTGAGATGCCCCCCAAAAAGGTGATTTTAGCTGAGACAATACACACATGGTATCACATCCGCAAATACATAGAGTGCATAAGTATATGACTGTATAATGGTCTATAATTATGTGCATATGTGTAATATATATATATATATATTTGCTATATATATATATGCTATACATACATATGCTATACATATATATGCTATATATATATATATTGTAATCATATGTATATATATATATATGTATTATATGTATACACGCAACACACACACACACATATATATATATATATATATATAATATATATATATCTATCCCAGGTTCACTGAGAAAGGGAGAAGGAGCTTTGGGTCATTAATTAATGTTCTTGTTCTAGCAAGATGCTGGAGCGAATTTTTGTTTGTGACAAGAGTTCGGGTTCCTCCGAGTTCCTCCTGCGGAGGTTTCTTCCACCAGCCATCTTTACTCATAGTTCCTGCGTGCAACGAAGCATGAGAAGAGACTTGGGCATTTTGCCCGATGAGACGTGGCCTTGGAATGTGGAGGCTGGCCTTGAGGGGTTATGATGATGAGTGTCCAAGAATTGTCGTACGAAAGGGAGAAACTCCGAAGATGCTTGATTTACAGGAAATCAACATTGGTCATTTCATCCCACCTCTCCCCGCCAGTTTGGAGACTCAGCGCTCCCAAACTTGGTGTTCAAAATGTGGTCAGCATCAATGATATATCCCGACAACTGTCCGCAACTTTCCCATAAAACCAACCCTACAAAGTCAATAAAGTCACCACAACCACCTTTCAGCCTTGCCTTCCAGGTCCAGTGGCGCCTGAACGCCTTCGCACGGAACCTGGCCTCCGAGGACCTTCCGCGGCCTTTCTTGACGCCCTACGTGCCGGGGCTGACAGTGCTGATTCCACACTATGGTGAGCAGATCCTGCTGCGGCGAAGGGATCTTGAGATTGCGGTGGCCAATGCGGGAGAGGAAGTGCCCTTGATCGCCTGGCTGGAAAAGAGGCCACCTGGGAGTTCTGTTTTAGGATGTTTTAGGGATTTTAGGGGTGTCAGGCCCGGGATTTTTTTTGGCAAGACAGTTGTGCCATGAGTACCTGCTGCAGGGACCCCAGTGCTGCAACATATTTTTCACGGAGGTTCTGGAGAGGGGACGAGGTATCAATAAACATGGCCGCCATGGCCAATTTCAGGACAGAATCGGTTGGACGCATACCACCATATACCACCTATAGAGTCCCTTCGAGCTAAGCGCACAGGTACCATGGAGACTTCACAGCCTTCACCTCTCGGATGACCCGGCTTCATGAACGTTGGCCGAGAGCCGGGAGCCGTTGGGATCAGTACCAAGATAATCATTGGGAGGAGATCTGCATGTGGGCCTCGATGAGGAGTCAGACTCTCTGGCGCACTGTGGAGGGGTTGATGCTGTACCAGCCTGCACTGGACTGCTTCAACCAGATGGTGGAGAGGGAGAATCAACGTTCGCTGCTCTTATGGGATTCCTATGAGGTCTTTACCTGCATGGTTTCCATGCAAATGTATGCTTTCTTCGATGATGATCAGTACCGCCACACTGAAAAGCTTTTAGAGCGCTTCCAACGGCCCGACCGAGCGGGTCAGACCCCATGGCAGAGTTTCCAGATTGCCTTCATTGATTTCAAAGAAAAGGCTGGGAAGTCATCCAATCCCCTGACCCAAAGACGCGCCCTTCATTATCAGTCTGATCCTTTCACATTATTATGACTAGCCCTGACGCATTACTGTAATTTCAATACAATTCAATAGTCACTATGTACAGATCATAATTCTTTCATCATTTTCACATGTGTTGCTATCATTAAACCATGAATCTCCGAATCTCTTAGCTTCAGCCCACCATCCGCATCCTTTTTGGCATCCCAGGGTGAGAACGCCAATGCGGATGGCATCCATGCCGCCCAAGAGCGGCGCTATTTCAGCTGCCTCATCGACCCCGGCTGTGCGAGGGAGGGCCTGCGGAGGAAGCCGCGCTTGACGGTGGAGCTCCCCGGATTTCCCATCCTCGGTGATGGCAAGGGAGACAATCAGAAGCTGGTATTGGTTGGTGGTTTTTACACCTCATCTCTTCCTTTTTTTGACACTTTTGAACTTTTAACACGATAATGAGTTAGTTTCGGGGGGTTTTACGGGATGACATCACCAGGAACCATGCCATCATCTTCAGCCGCGGCTCCATTATTCAGTGCATTGACGCAAATCAAGGAGGCTACTTTGAGCAGATGCTCTTGTTACCCTGTGCCCTTGGAGAGTTTCGTCAAGAGGGACCTGGATTGAACCCTCGCATTGTCCCTGGGCCTTTCCCGAAGATGATATTTGGTTCCTGGCTGTGATTTCCTCGGATCCCTGTGTGAACAGGTTGCTTAATAGCCAGGTAGAAATCCTCGGTTCCCACCTTGGAACCGGACCCCAAGGTCGGCTTCGCGGAACACATTACCAGTGACATCGGATCCCTTGGTGACTTCGCGGCTGGAGCTGAAACGGCCTTTGGAACTGTGTTGCAGCGCTGCTACTCCTTCTTGGGGGGACGCATGCATTATGGGCATCCAGACATGATGAACAAGGACTGGTACCCTGGGAAGGGGAGCCAAAACAACGAAACGGCCATCAAGATGCCCTTAGCTGAAGCTGCTTACTGTGGTTCCTTAGACGCAGAAGACCCCATAGTTCCGTGGCCATGGAAGGCCCCATAGTTCCAGCCAAGACTGGGTTGACCGGAGTGAACATCTTCAAGAAAGCGAGCCGTGAGTTTTCATCCGGCTTTGATTTTCTTTACCAATACACTTTATATGAACAATCAGATTTTTTGATTTCTGGTCAGATTTCCTTACACCAATCATTTCTGGGATTGGCGATGATTCGATGATTCTTCTCACAATTTGAGCAGTATGTTTGGGATGCTTCCAGCTGATTCCAGCTGCAGGAGTTTATGATTCAACAAGGTGGCGTCTCCAAGGCAACGAAAACGGTGAACCTATCGGAGGACGGGCGACTCAGGGCTATGACAAGATCAGAAAACGGATGAAATGATGCATATTTTCATATTTTCAGCCGAACTCTTCGAGAAGGCGATGGAGAGGGAGAGGGATGCATATTTAAAGAATAGGGGAGAATTTTGACAGGTCCTCTATTTTGAATTTGGGTATGTTCGACCCACGATACAGGACATCTTCGCAGGGATGGATTTCACCCTGCGTGGCAATGGGCGGAACATCGTGCATCGCGAGTATTTGCACGTGGCCAAGGGAAGGTGGGTTAGCCACAGATGCCATTTTCCCACTGGTTGATCAATAGAGGGATAAGGATGTAACCAATGGGTAAGTGATGACAAATGCTATCTTCACCCAACCAGACAGTGTTGCATGAAAAAGCACAATAGGGAAAAGTCACAAACAAAAAAACATGTTTACTCCATCAGTGGAATCCACTGAAAGCTGCAGGGATTTGGGCTTCAACACCATCCTGACGTTTTTCTCGAAGCTGTCGGCGGGAACGGGGGAGCAGTTGTTGACACGACAAGTGCTGCGGCTGGGCCATGAGTTGGACTTGCCGGAATTTCTCACCTTCTACTATGCTCACGCAGGTTGGAAGTCGGTTCTTGTGGTCCTCATGTTGCAGGTTGTGACAACGGTTGTGCAGGTTGTGGTAGAGAGATCTGACAAAAATCGTCTGAAGACCTTTGAAGGTTGCCTTTCTGGTGCTGGCGGTGCTAGGTGGTGCTAGGTGGTGCTGTATCCGTGTGTGAGGCCCAGTCAACACAAGGAACATCTATTTTTTCAAGGGCAAGGGTATACTGTACATGTTTTTTCCCGAGAGCGCCTGCGAAGGGTTCTTCGTAAAAAAGCAGCCGTTGTAATACATCTTCACACCTTCACATCTGCTGATCTACATCCTCACACCTTCACATCTGCTGATCTACATCTTCACACCTTCACATCTGCTGATCTACATCTTCACACCCTCACACCTGCTGATCTACATCTTCATACCCTCACATCTGCTCATCTACACCTTCACACCCTCACACCTGCTGATCTACATCTTCACACCTGCACATCTGCAGATCTACATCTTCACACCCTCACATCTGCAGATCTACATCTTCACACCCTCACACCTGCTGATCTAGATCTTCACACCCTCACACCTGCTGATCTACATCTTCACACCTTCACGCCTGCAGATCTACATCTTCACACCCTCACATCTGCTGATCTACATCTTCACACCCTCACACCTGCAGATCTACATCGTCACACCCTCGCATCTGCAGATCTACATCTTCACACCTTCACATCTGCAGATCTCCTCTCGCTCTTCTTTCTATCTCTCTCTTAAGGCGGGGGCGGTGCCGCCGGAGCGCCACGAAACGCAACCCTTTCGCACGACGTGGACGTTGGACGTCAAAAACTGAGGAAAAATTGCGATTTTGATGTATCCATCGCAACCCTTTCGCACGAAATGGACGTTGGACGTCAAAAACTGAGGTAAAATTGTGATTTTACTTTGTCCATCGCGACCCCTTTGCACTAAATGGACGTTGGACGTCTAAAACTGCCGTAAAATTGCGATTTCACGGGTCCGGTCTCTGTGTGCGAAAGTGTTTGTGTGTAAAAGCTTCTGTGTGTGAAAGTGTTTGTGTGTAAAAGTTTCTGTGTGTAAAAGCTTCTGTGTGTAAAAGCTTCTGTGTGTAAAAGGGTCTGTGTGTAAAAGGGTCTGTATGTAAAAGCGTCTGTGTGTAAAAGCGTCTGTGTGTAAAGGAGTCTGCGTGTAAAAGCCTCTGTGTGTAAAAGCTTCTGTGCGTAAAAGCTTCTGTGTGTAAAAGCTTCTGTGTGTAAAAGCTTCTGTGTGTGAAAGCGTCTGTGTGTAAAAGGGTCTGTGTGTAAAAGTGTCTCTGTGTAAAAGCGTCTGTGTGTAAAAGCGTCTGTGTGTAAAAGGGTCTGTGTGCAAAAGGGTCTGTATGTAAAAGCCTCTGTGTGTAAAGAAGCTTGTGTGTAAAAGCTTCTGTGTTTAAAAGCGTCTGTGTGTAAAAGCTTCTGTGTGTAAAAGCTTCTGTGTGTAAAAGCTTCTGTGTGTAAAAGCGTCTGTGTGTAAAAGGGTCTGTATGTAAAAGCGTCTGTGTGTAAAAGCCTCTGTGTGTAAAGGAGCCTGTGTGCTGTGTGTAAACGCGTCTGTGTGTAAAAGTGTCTGTGTGTAAAAGCTTCTGCGTGTAAAAGCGTCTGTGTGTAAAAAGGGTCTGTGTGTAAAAGGGTCTGCATGTAAAAGCGTCTGTGTCTAAAAGCGTCTGTGTGTAAAGGAGTCTGTGTGTAAAAGCATCTGTGTGTAAAAGCTTCTGTGTGTAAAAGCGTCTGTGTGTAAAAGAGTCTGTGTGTAAAAGCCTCTGTGTGTAAAAGCTTCTGTGTAAAAGCTTCTGTGTTTAAAAGCTTCTGTGTGTAAAAGTGTCTGTGTGTAAAATGGTCTGTGTGTAAAAGAATCTGTGTGTAAAAGTGTCTGTGTGTAAAAGCTGCTGTGTGTAAAAGCGTCTGTGTGTAAAAGTGTCTGTGTGTAAAAGCTGCTGTGTGTAAAAGCGTCTGTGTGTAAAGGTGTCTGTGTGTAAAATGGTATGTGTGTAAAAGCGTTTGTGTGTAAAAGCGTCTGTGTTTAAAAGTGTCTGTGTGTAAAAGCGTTTGTGTGTAAAGGAGTCTGTGTGTAAAAGTGTCTGTGTGTAAAAGCGTTTGTGTGTAAAGGAGTCTGTGTGTAAAAGTGTCTGTGTGTAAAAGCGTCTGTGTGTAAAGGAGTCTGTGTGTAAAAGCGTCTGTCTGTAAAAGCGTCTGTGTGCAAAAGCGTCTGTGTGTAAAAGCTTCTGTGTGTAAAAGCTTCTGTGTTTAAAAGCTTCTGTGTGTAAAGGTGTCTGTGTGTAAAATGGTCTGTGTGTAAAAGTGTCCGTGTGTAAAAGCGTCTGTGTGTAAATCTTTCTGTGCGTGTAAACGCGTCTGTGTGTAAAAGTGTCTGAGTGTAAAAGCTGCTGTGTGTAAAAGCGTCTGTGTGTAAAAGCTTCTGTGTGTAAAAGTGTCTCTGTATAAAAGCGTCGCGTTTCTTCACATCCGAGGAATGATGGTACCGAGCTTTTTCGGCAATGTGTGTAGTGTAGGAATTACCATAGTAAAATGAGATAACACATGTCATTTGCAGCATCATGGTGCCGAGCCTCCTGTGCACTTTTGTTGCTCACATTATATTTCTCCATGTTTTCTTTCTATCTCCCTTTCCTTCTCTCTCTCTCTCTCCCCCTCTTTCTCTCTCTCTCTCTCTCACCCTCTCCCTCTTTCTCTCTCCCCGTCTCCCTCTCTCTCTCTCTCTATCTATGTCTCTCTGTGGTTGCAAGACACGTGTCATCTGATGCCCTTTACCAAATATCCTCTTCTTAATCAATCTTACTTTTCACACCTTATCCCTCCATAGCTCATAAAAAATCACCAACCATTCACCGACTATCTTTTACGACTACCATCCTCAGAGCTGCTTGAAAAACATCTTTGTCGCTCTCGGGCCAACCGTCGTCTAGTTTTCTCTTCTTGGTTTCAGTGGAAGATATATATAATGCCTTGAACTTCCTGGAGCTCCATGCTCAAGCTTAGCCTCGTGTGTATCGTTGGCGAGGCTTCTACTTGACCCAGTTCTTCCTGTCCAAGAGTATCCCACTCCTGGTCTTCATTTGGCTGGTGGTGGTCCTTGATGATCCAGAGCAGAACTTCCCAGCCATGGATCCGGATTCCAAGGGCACATCTGGTGCCACCGTGATCGCAACGATGCTGATCACACAGTTCTCAAAGCTACTGCTGCTGTTCATAGTGGCTCAATTAGCCCCACTGTTTATGCAGGTATGGCTGGAAAGCTCCATAGTCTCTGCCTTCCTGCGGGTGATCAAACAGATCTTCACCTTGGCTCCGCTGCACTTTGTCTTTCAGGCGAAGGTGATTGGAAACTACATCACCAATGAGGCGGACCCAGGGAATAGGATGGAATAGAGGGATGCAGCCAGCGAGAATTGGGAATACTTTTTGGATAAAATTTGCACAGACAGGCGCTGCTCTGAATAGATACATAAATCAATACGACAGAGAGAGAGAGAGAGAGAGAGAGAGACAGAGAGAGAGAGAGAGAGCGAGGGAGGGAGGGAGGGAGAGAAAAAAGAGAGAGAAAAAAGAGAGAGAAAAAAGAGAGAGAAAAAAGAGAGAGAAAAAAGAGAGAGAAAAAAAAGAGAGAAAAAAAGAGAGAAAAAAAGAGAGAAAAAAAAGAGAGAAAAAAAAAGAGAGAAAAAAAGAGAAAAAAAAGAGAGAAAAAAAGAGAGAAAAACGAGAGAAAAAAAGAGAGAAAGAGAAAGGAAAAAAAGAAAGGGAAAAAAGGAAATTACGTGGGTAAAGCTCTTACGCAGCTAGTTTTTATTTCGTGGCTTTAAAAAAATACGTGGCTAGAGAATCCTGGAAAAATTACGTGGCTAAGAAAGGCTGCAGAGAGAGAGAGAGATAGACAGATAGACAGACAGACAGAGACAGGCAGACAGGCAGACAGGCAGACAGGCAGACAGGCAGACAGGCAGACAGGCAGACAGGCAGACAAGCAGACAGGCAGACAGGCAGACAGGCAGACAGGCAGGCAGACAGGCAGACAGGCAGACAGGCAGACAGACAGACAGACAGGCAGACAGGCAGACAGACAAGACAAGATAGACAAGATAGACAAGATAGACAAGATAGACAAGATAGACAAGATAGACAAGATAGGCAAGATAGACAAGATAGACAAGATAGACAAGATAGACAAGATAGACAAGATAGCCTAGATAGACTAGATAGACTAGATAGACAGATAGTCTAGATAGCCTAGAGAGACGAGATAGACTAGATAGACTAGATAGACTAGACGAACTAGATAGAAAGAAAGAAAGAAAGATAGATAGATAGATAGACAGAGAGACAGAGACACAGAGACACAGAGACACAGAGAGACAGATAGACAGATAGATAGACAGATATATAGACAGACAGACAGACAGACAGATCCATCGGATAGGATAGATGATCGATTAGATAGATAGATAGATAGGATAGATAGAAAGCTAGGATAGATAGGATAGATAGGATCGATAGGATCGATAGGATCGATAGGATCGATAGGATCGATAGGATCGATAGGATAGATAGGATAGATAGCATAGATAGGATAGATAGGAAAGATAAGATAGATAGGATAGATAGGATAGATAGGATAGATAGGATAGATAGGATAGATAGGATAGATAGGATAGATAGGAAAGATAGGGTAGATAGGATAGATAGGATAGATAGGATAGATAGGATAGATAGGATAGATAGGATAGATAGGATAGATAGGATAGATAGGATAGATAGGATAGATAGGATAGATAGGATAGATAGGATAGATAGGATAGATAGGATAGATAGGATCGATAGGATCGATAGGATCGATAGGATAGATAGGATAGATAGGATCGATAGGATCGATAGGATAGATAGGATAGATAGGATAGATAGGATAGATAGGATCGATAGGATCGATAGGATCGATAGGATCGATAGGATCGATAGGATCGATAGGATCGATAGGATCGATAGGATCGATAGGATCGATAGGATCGATAGGATCGATAGGATCGATAGGATCGATCGGATCGATAGGATCGATCGATCGATAGATAGATAGATAGATAGATAGGATAGATAGATAGAATAGAATAGAATAGAATAGAGTAGAATAGAATAGAATAGAATAGATAGATAGGATAGATAGATAGATAGATAGATAGATGGATAGATAGATAGAATAGAATAGAATAGAATAGAATAGAACAGAATAGAATAGAATAGAATAGATAGATAGATAGGATAGGATAGGATAGGATAGATAGGATCGATAGGATCGATAGGATCGATAGGATCGATAGGATAGATAGGATAGATAGGATAGATAGGATAGATAGCATAGATAGGATAGATAGGATAGATAGGATAGATAGGATAGATAGGATAGATAGGATAGATAGGATAGATAGGATAGATAGGATAGATAGGATAGATAGGATAGATAGGATAGATAGGATCGATAGGATCGATAGGATCGATAGGATCGATAGGATAGTTAGGTAGGTAGGTAGATAGATAGATAGATAGATTTGTACAATCTTAATATTCAGATGTCACATGTTATATTGAACCACAGTGCACAAATATGTACTGTATATTATTACGAATAGGCTAAGCATGCCATCAAAAACCATCCCTTGGTTGCCATCAATTTCTCTCCCCTGTGAGGTGACGCTGGGAGGGGCCAAGTACCTGCCCACTGGCCGCGGTTTGCCAACCACTCGGCGTGCCTTTCTGAGAAGACTGGACAAAGGCAGGGGATCGACTCGATGTGGCTAGGAAAATCATGTAAAATCCACCAAGTTCATTGATTTTCCATAACTTTCCAAACTAGGAACCACCATTTATGTGGGATATTGGGGGGTTATCAAACCATGTTTTTTTGACTTATCATTTTCATCTTGTTTCTGCACATCTCAGAGCTGCAGACGTTTCAAATCTGACTCCAGGAGGAGGTTTGTACAACGACTATGCGGTATTGGCCTTGTATGATGGTGCACAGCTGTTACTAGCTGTGCTGTTGGTGATTTTGGGCGGTGGTTTGGCTGTCCAGCTCTCTCTCTTTTGGTGGCTTGGAAGCAAGTCGCTGTTGGTCCTTTCAGTTTCGGGTTTCAATTGTGCCGCTTACACATTGCTGTGTGCCCTGAGTAGTCTGACTGTTTTCATCCAGTCTGCTGCGCCGTTTTCAGGTGGCTGCTGGCTCTTGGTTTGACAATCTGTTCCTGGCTCTTGGCTCCTTTCATTTTCAACCCCTACCAGTTTGCACACACCCACTTCCGCGCGGATCTGGGTGACTGGAAGGAGTTCTTCTTTGATGGCAAGGGCAGATATTGGGCGGAGTGGTACACAAAGACCCGGCTTCTGCCTGGTGCTGGGCTCCGAAGCTCCGGGGTGGAGATTATCAAGAGAGGCCTGTTCCTGGGAGCTTGGTATACCATCCTCAACCAGAAGGCTTGGGGCTTCACCAAGCATCGAGCGTTTTTTCCTTGGGATTTGCTGTGAGAAAGGTGGAACGCTTAGAAGTCACCTTGTAATCACAGATCATGAGAGGTTCCTTAACAGTCAACTTGTCCACTCCTCAAACTGTTTCACTCCGACAGGTGCACATGCTGACCGTGATCTTCTCAGGTAGTTCGCGGCTGATTTTCAGCATTGGTTTGGTGGCCATGCCCCCCATCGGCATGTCCTTGGTGGCGTGTTGCATCCTGCCAGCCCTGCCTTCACTGTGGGGCCAACCTGGTGAGCCCTTGGCATTGGGATGGAGCGCCCTGACAGTGGTGCTGTTGGATTGCCTTGAGACCATCTTGTACTTGTGGAAGCTAATTTGTGTGAAGTGGTGGAAGTCCTTCGCAGTAGGCCTGGGATGGATGGATGATGTTGGATGATGTTGGATGATGTTGGATGAGGGATGGTGTCTATTTGTACCATTTGCAAAGCAATGCGTTCAACACGGATTTTGTTTTCTACAGTATGTTTTCTACGTGGCTTCAACCATGTTTCTTTTATATATTTTCCATAGAGAGAGAGGGAGAGAGAGAGAGAGAGAGCGAGCAAGCGAGAGAGAGAGAGAGAGCGGGAGAGCGAGAGCGAGAGAGAGAGAGAGAGAGAGAAATATCGTGAGAGAGAGAGAGAGAGCGAGAGAGACAGCCGGAGAGCCAGAGAGCCAGAGAGCCAGAGAGCAAGCCAGCGAGAGCGAGGGAGAGAGGGTAAGAGGGAGAGGGAGAGAGGGAGGGAGGGAAGGAGGGAGAGAGAGACAGAGATATAGTATGTGATTCATACATATACAAATACATAGAGACATACATGTGGTTAGAGCAATGGTGTCCCCCATCAGTGGTTGAGACACTTCCAAGCAGGATTGCAACCCTGGCAGGTTTGCTCTTGAAATTTTGCCTTCTCTCCTTTTGCCTGGAGATTTGTGAATGCGCCTTCAGGCTGCATGGAGGCAGTCCACCAGCGTGGCTGCGTGTGAGGATCAACATGTGGTTGCACGGACATCGTATGGCACAGGATATCTTTGTATCCTCGTTGATTTTGGCATTGCTCTCTGTTGGTGCCATGTGTTGTGGTTGCGACTTCTGCGGCCTTCACAACATTTTGGTCTACCGCGACCCTGGGGGTGTCCACAAAAACCAGCAGGCCCAGGCCGTCCCGCAGCGTGGCGAGGGCCGTGATGGCTTCAGTACCTTTACCGACCTATCGCCGGGCTACAGCACCGCCACCCCACGCAGAGCGGTGGAGGCGGATGAGCCGCCAGAGGAGTCGGAGCTGCAAATGGCACCGGAAATTGAGGCAGGGGCACCACCGAGCTTCAGCACCACCACCCCACGCAGGGTGGTGGAGGCAGATGAGCCGCCAGAGGAGTCGGAGCCAAGAGTCGGAGGGGCACCACCGGAGGAGCCCTGATGCTGATGATAGATCTGCTTGGGATCTCACGTTTGGAATTTGGAAGGATCTGGGGCTAAGAGGGGCCCTAGAAACGTCGAATTGTTTCTAGCTGCTGGGCCGGGCAAGGATGCAAAGCATCTGTTCACAGTTGCCGAGTCCGGAGGAAAATGAGTGAGGAACCCCGCATCATGTGATCCCGTACTGGTACAAATGCCTTTGAATTTTCCTTTCTTGTCTTTCAAAAGGGTCCCGCTATGTCCCCCTTGAAATGTGTTGCCTTTGAGTCCAAGAATTATCGTTTCACCTGTCCTGTGAGGCGGCATCCTCTCCGATCTTGGTGCCTTTTTTGAATGGCCGCGACTCTCTTCCATGCCATGCCCAGTACTTCGACCGCATCTAGTGGCAGGTGGAATACAAGAACGAATGTGGCCAAAGGAGGCAGGAAAATCAGGAAATCATTGACAACAACTGTTCAACAACTCTTATTCTTTTCGCATCTTTTCGCCAAGAGCCCCCAAGAGCCTTTGAGATTTTGAAACCTCGAAGCCTCGAAGGGTTTTCGGCTTCCCTTTGCGCCTTGGAATGGCGATCAATGAAGGGACTTCTGAAGGTCGCCAGACACTCCCCCTTTCACAAGCTATCCCAAAAAGATCCAAAAAGAAGCATTTAGATTGTGACATTGCTCCCGCGGTCTTGCCAGGCCATTTGATCAACCCAAGTTTTGTCCATATGTATCTCCCACGTGAAACAGCTTCAAACATCATATTCACACACACACACGGATGTACATGTACATGTAAATGTACATGTATATGTATATGTATATGTAAATGTAATATGTACATGTAATATGTATATGTATATGTAAATGTATACTGTAAATGTATATGTATTTATTTTATTTATTATATGAATATATTTCATTATTTTCTATTTTGTTATATAATATTAAATTTCATTATATTATACAATATTCTTTTATATTGTGCTATATTATATTAAAGTATATTAAATTTTAATATAATAAAATATATGATAATATATTGTAATATATTATAATAAATTATAATATATTATAATGTATTATAATATATTATAGTATATTATGTTACATTATATTATATTAAATTATATTATATTAAATCATATTATATTACATTATATTATATTATATTACATAATATTTCATTATATTATATTATTTTAAAGTATATTATATTATAATATATTATAATAAATTATATTACATTGCATTATATTATATTATATTATATTACATTTTAAAAAATATATTATGTTATATTATATTTTACTATAAAATTATATTATAGTATATTATATTATATTATATTAAAATATAATATATTAGAGTATATTAAATCTCAATGTATTATACAATATTCTTTTTTATATTGTGCTATTTAATATTGTATAATATTTAATTTTATCATATTATATAATATTATATGATAATATTATATAATATTATATAATATTTTTTAATATTATATAATATTGTAATATTATATTGTATTATATTTTATTTTATTTATATTTATATTTGTATTTATATTTTTATAATATAATATTATTTAATATTTTAATTATTATAGTATATTTTATTACATTATATTTTATTAAATTGTATTATATCATATTACATTATATTATAATTATATTATATATACATTGTTTTATTTTTCTAAATTATATTGTATTATATTACATTGAGCCCGCTGTGCGGGTATCACCTTTCCACCCGCAGACGAAGACGAATTCCAAAGACGAATTGCGAAGACGAATTCCTCGAAGACAAATTGTCCCCCGAAGAAGCATCCCCCCCGAAGACGGATTCCGAAGACGAATTCCACGAAGACGAATTGTGCCCTGAAGACGAATTCCCCCCCGAAGACGAATTCCGAAGACGAATTCCCCGAAGACGAATTGCCACCCGAAGACGAATTCCCTCCCGAAGACTAATTGCGAAGACGAATTCCCCGAAGACGAATTGCCCCCCGAAGACGCATTCCCCTCCCGAAGACTAACTGCGAAGACGAATTCCCCGAAGACGAATTGCCCCCCGAAGACGAATTCCCCCCCGAAGACGAATTGCGAAGACGAATTCCCCGAAGACGAATTACTCCCCGAAGACGAATTTCCCCCGAAGACGAATTGCGAAGACGAATTCCCCGAAGACGAATTACTCCCCGAAGGCGAATTCCCCCCCGAAGGCGAATTCCGAAGACGAATTCCACGAAGACGAATTGCCCCCCGAAGACGAATTCCACCCCGAAGACGAATTGCGAAGATGAATTCCCTGAAGACGAATTGCCCCCCGAAGGCGACTTGTCGCCCCATGAAGATTCATTGCGAAGACGAATTCTCCGAAGACGAATTCCCCCCCGAAGACGAATTGCGAAGACGAATTCCCCGAAGACGAATTCCCCGAAGACGAGTTGCCCCCCGAAGACGAATTCCCCCCGGTGACGAATTCCGAAGACGAATTCCCCGAAGAGGAAGTGCGCTCCGAAGACGATTCCCCCCCGAAAGAAGAGGTTTAATTTAAATGAACAGGATGGAAGCGTTGAAACGATGGGGAGGAAGTAATGGACGGAAGAGAAGAGTTGAAGCGAAAGGCACGCCGTATAGGAAACGGAAGGGAAGAGTTGAAAGGGAATGGGAGGAGTAACGAAGGTTGCAAGTTCCGCCGCGGCCTGGTTCTAAAGCATCTTAAAACTAGTTTTTTTTCATTTTAAAAGTTCATTTGGAAATCTGCTTTTTTTTTCCTGCCTTCATTTTGAATTCATTTTCATTTCTGCTTTTTTTGGCTTGTGATTGGAGTTTTTGATCCCCAGTGGAAAAAATGAAACATGTTTGGGCCTTACTGAGCTTTCTTGGGGCTTTTGAGGCTGTCTCTGGCTGTGACAGGTTGGGGTTCTTGCTTGGCATGGCCCAAATTTTCAAATTGCTGGAGAAAGTGTTCCAAAGCCTAAGAAATTAAATTTCTAAATATAAATTTTGGCAATTGTTTGATTTGTGGCAAATTGAAACCTGGCCAGGATTTGTTGAGGTTGATTGCTCAACTTAACTTAATTTAACTTAAACCAACCAAAAACCAAAATCCTAAACCCTAAACCCTAAACTCTTAGGGTTTAGGGTTTGGGATACGGTATTTGAACTTGACATTTTGGAACAAGGAGGTAAACAAAAAAAACTTTTGCTTCGAACATTTTTCCGGAATGAAAAAAGATGAACTTTTGATGTGGGCAAAATTTCAGAATGAACTTTTTTGGGGGACCAGAAAAAATGAACTTTCAGAATGAAAAAAATGAAAAAAACGAAAAAGTTCATTTTTTTTCATTTTTTTTTCATTTTTTTTCATTCTGCAAATCTGGTCTGACATGACAGTTCATTCCAGAAATTGGCTCAACATGAAAGTTCATTTTTTCCCCTTCTGAAATTTTGATCAGAAGGACGGTTCACTCTGTTCGATTCTCTTCTCTTTGATTTTTTTTTGGCAATTTTGAAAAATCAGAAATCGTTTTTTTAAAATTATTCTTTTTGGCTTTAGATTTTTAAATTCTAGATTTTAAAAGTTCATTTTTTCCATTTTGAAGGTTCGTTTTCTATTTTTTTCTTTTTTTGGGACATCATTTTGAAAACTGCTTGAAAAACAAAGGCAGCCAAGAGTACCAGTTTTGAAAATAAGAAAGTTCCAAAGTACCAGTTTTTAAAATACCAGGTGGCATACCAAGCAGTTTTCAAAATGATGTCCAAAAAAAAGAAGGAAAAAAAGCAGAAACAAAAATAAAAAACGAACTTTCAAAATGAAATAAAATAAAAAACAAAAAACTGATTTTACTATTTCTTAGAACCAGACCGACGAGGAACTTGCAAAACGAAGGGATGAAAAAGAGTGGAAACGAAAGGAAGGAAGTAACGAATGGAAGGGAAGAGTTGCAACGAAAGGACGGACGCAATGAAACGGACGGGTTGAAAGGAAAGGAAGAGCAAGATGAACAGGAAAGAAGAGTTGAAGCGAAAGAAAGATAAGAAATAAGGTAACGAAATGAACGGCTTGAAACGAAAGGAAGAGGTAAACGAACTGGATGAACACATTGAAACAAAAGGAAGGGAAGTAACAAAATGAACGCCGTGAAAGGAAAGGAAGAGATAAATGACAATGAACAGGATGGAAGCGTTGAAACGATGGGAAGAAAGTAACGAAGGGCAGAGAAGAGTTCAAAACGAAAGGAACGAGGTATAGGGAACAGGAGCGAAGAGTTGAAACGAAAGGGAAAGAAGTAACGAACCGCATTTAAAAGAGTTGAAACGAATTGGAAAGAAGAATAAAGAAGTAAAACCAATCGAAGCGTAGAGTTGCAACGAAAGGACGGACGCGATGAAATGGACACGTGAGAGGAAAGGAGGAGGTAAACGAAGCGGATGTAAGCCTAGAAACTAAAGGAAAGAAGTATAACGAAATGAACGGCTCGAAACGAAAGGAGGAGGTAACGAAATGAACGACTTGGAAAAAAGGAAGAGGTAAACAAACCGCATGTCAGACTTTTAAAATTAAAAAAAAGGAAGGAATCAGCAACATGAACGCATTGACATGAAAGCAAGAGGTACATGAACAGGATGGAAGCGTTGAAACCATGGGGAGGAAGTAACGAACCGAAGGGAAGAATTAAAGAAGGAACGACGTATAGGGAACAGAAGGGAAGAGTTGAAACGAAAGAAGTAGCGAACAGGATTACAAAGAGTTGAAGCGAAAGGAAGGAAGCAACGAATGGAAGGGAAGAGTTGCAGCAAAAAGACGGACGCAATGAAATGGACGAGTTGACAGGAAAGGAGGAGCAGGAAGAACAGGACAGAAGATTTGAGCGAAAAGACGGCGGACCTAACGAAATGAACCCCTTTAAATGAGAGGAAGAGGTGAATGAATAAGATGAAACAATGGGGAGGAAGTAACGAACGGAGCAGAAGTTAAAACGAAAGGAGCAACGTTGGGAACAGAAGGGAAGACAAAACGAAAGGGAAGAGTAACCAACGAAATGCTCTGGATGCTATAGCCTCCGGGCTTGTTCTTTGAGATTTTGAAAATTCTTTTGACGCTCTTAGCTTTCTCCTGGGCCAGTCCGGCAAGATGCTACGCTCTTAGCTGT